AACGTATGTATGTATGCATGTGTGTGTGTGTATGCATGCATGTATGTACGTATTTATTTATACATGCATGTTGTTTTTTTCCCCCGGTACATTTGTACATATATATATATATATGAAGGTTTTAGGCCTCGTAGGTCGGCTTTAAGGCAAAGGGGGAGGACGAAGGACTGACGAGACCAAGGGGGCCAACGCGCATCGCCGTTTGAAGTATTTGAATTCCATCCCGGGTACATCTACTAAACCACGTGCAGTTCCTAATGCATTTGTACACGGAACAGAAAATTGAAACCTGAAATTAGCCAATGTCACAGCATTTTCCCGAACGGAAGCCTTGCGGAAACTGAGAGGCCAGAACTTTATAAATTCATGTTTTTTTACCGTACCACACCAGTTAGGTGTGGATCTTCAGGTGCCTGGCCATATTAAGATATATATATATATACGGTACCCCCCCCCATGGACCCTGGTTTGGTGCGGTTGACCTGTATTTTCCAGTGGTTTATGCTTCTTTTTGCTTCTGGGATTTGTGTCAAATTTGGGGGGAGGGTCGTACATGTATATGATACGCATGCATGCATACAGATGTGATAAAAGCAATGACATCAGCAGCTGCAATCTGAAAGAGTTTGAATGCATCCAAGAATACAAGAACAACTCAGACATTTTTAAAAATTATGGGATTCAAGATTCAAGATTCAAGAATGTGAGAAAATATTTTCTGGGAATCTTGAATCTTGAATCTTGAATCTTGAATCCCAGAATTTTTAAAAATTATTAAAAATTATGGATTCAAGATTCAAGATTCAAGAATCTGAGAAAATGTTTTCTGGGAATCTTGAATCTTGAATCTTGAATCCCATAATGTTTAAAAAGTTTTAACAATTCCAGGGTTGTCCCAATACTCTCGGTGTTCAATAAGATTCTCGGAAAAGTTTTCCGTGAAATAGTTCAATCCAGTGGTAACGGATGTTCGAGGTGATAGAACAACTTGAACATTTTAGGGGTTGACCAGGATGGATGATTCTCAGGAAAGTGGTGGTTTGTGGGCTCCTCAATATTGAATCCCCAATCCAGTGGTAAAGCACTTTCAAGTGTTCGAAGAACTTGAATGCTATTTGGGTTTGGCCAGGATTGACAATTCTCAGGAAAGTGTTCTGTGTAATCTTCAATATTGAATCTTCCATCCGATAGTAGCAATTTTTCAAGTGCTTAGCGATCCAGTGGACACACTTTCAAGTTATTGGTTAGACAAACTTTCAAGTGCTTTTGGTGAGCTTCATGTCAGCTATGCTCATGTTGACCCCTTTCCAGGAGGTAAACAAAGGCAGGTGCAACGCTCAAAAATACTGCATTTTCCAGTATTTTATGAGGAGGCGCAGGATTATTGGGGGTACTATATATGTGTGTATGTATGTGTATCTATAGATATACATATGTATGTACGTTCACACACCGTCCCCCACCCTCTTCAACTACCTGTTTACATTTGCTCATCTACCACCTCCACCTTTTGACATAGAATTAACTTTCCTGCGCAAATAGAACTTTAAATACAACGGTTTAGCTAGAATCCCTGTTTCGAAATAGTTTTAGATTTTGAACCTCTCTTCCCTTGAAATTTCCCTTTGGAACACTGTCTAACAAGTTCAATGTCGGACCTTTCTTATGCTACAAAAGGGCCAGAATGCAAACAACACAAATCCTACTTTTAATTTCCAAATGGTTAGCCATATTTAATATTAATTATATTTGAGATGTAGTCTCTATTCACTTGATATTATCAAAAGCAAATTGAGTTGTGTTCGTCTTAGATTATACTTACCACTTGGATTATATTTGGGAAAAAAGCTTCCATCTAACTTCTTGTGTTATAGATTAGTTGGAGTTTAGCCGAACATATATATATATATATATACATTTTCATGTAGCTGCTATTTGGAAAGGATTTGCTTGTTTAAGCTGTAATTGAACATAAACACATTTTTGAAAACTATATCCATACTAAACTATATTCAAAATTCCAATTCTAGTTGAAGTACCATCTTATGTGCAAAGGGTATCATACTGGGACATTATGGAGGACTCCGGGCTCCAAATTATCACGCTTTGGGGACCCACAATTGGAAATTTCGAGAATATAAATTTGGAAATTCTAGATTTGCCATCCCCAAAAGGCAGTAAAACCAGGGTCCATGGGGGGGGGGGTTGCATATATACACGTATATATTTACATCAGCATGTGCGGACATGACCACCACCACGTTTGCGAGCATCTGTTTTGACTACGTCCGAGCGACGGATCGAGTTGCCAAGACCCAGCCACATGGTTCCCTGCATTTCCGTGCTCAGGTGAAGAGCCAAGTCCAGGCCTTTGCGCAGAGGGAGCAGAGGTGTTTCGCTCCTCGAACATATCCGATCCATGGCCTACCTTGAGGTTTTGTTCGAAATCACTCGCATGTTCCACCCGAGGTTGTGCCTTGTGGTACTTTGCCAAACACAACCGGAACTTGTCAAAAGGCGCCTGGTAAAAAGAGCATACTCTACGAGTACATGTCAAAAATTGGTGAAGGCTCAGTGAAGGGAACCCGTAAAGGTGACTTGTTCGTGGTGTAGCCCGTGGCATCAACCGCCATCCCGCTGCCAGGGCCTGCTGCACATCGCGGACGCGCTGCTGAACCGGGAGCGCCGCAGGGCCAACTTCAGAGCAAGGGGGGCCCAGAGCCGCCATGGCCAGAAACTTCCGGCGGCCTTGGTTTCACTGTTGTTGGCATGTGGTAAGGTTGTGTTTTGTTGTTTTGGGTTGCGTTCGTTTTCAGAAGGGTGGTTTTTGGGGGTCCTTCCGTTGATTTGTAGAGTATTTCCAGTTGGTTCGAATCAGTTGCCATGTCCATTCGGGAACTTAGATGAGCCTCGACCAGAAAAGCGATCGAGGCAGGCTGTGAATCGGACGTGAGGGACGAAGTAGAATGTGTTATTAATATAATTTCGATATTGGTCCAGGACAACTTATTATTATTTGGCTTTACTGGGAACTCCCACCTTGCCCCAACTCAAGGATTCCCAGAGGAAGGTTCTAGCCGTGTGGAAAATTGGCTCCCTGTCTGACTGTGAGGACCTCTCCTCAAATAGCTAGTTGCTGGTTTTTCAAGAAGCAATTGATAAAGTTGGTGGTATTGTTGGCTGTCAGGCTTTCTTGATTGTTGTTGGTTTGCCTTGTGAACTGCCGGAACATTGTCATCGGTGTTGTTTGTATGCGAGACGAAAAGATGTGCGCTTCATAACTGTCAGAGTCACAGACGGCGAAAATGGGCTTATGATAGACACTTGGCGACACCACCTGTACGCCAGTCAGTCCCTTTTTGCATAGTTGTTCCATGAATCTCCGGATCAACCAAATCGCCCCTATGGGCGTGAAATATAGGTGTGTCTTTCTTAGTGGGATTTTCAACATGGCTTCGGGGAACACCTTTTTGTGTTCCTTTAACACCTACCGAAAAGGATAGCACTTTGAGAAAAGACATCCCCAGAAGGGTGTGACATTTCTTGTGAGTCATTTTCGTTGGACCTTCTGACATCGAGGCCCGGGTGCGGGCGAAGCGGAGGCGAGGAGAACAACCACGTCCCGCCTTGAGCTTTGGATCGGGGAGGAGAAGACTTCCAATCCACTTCCTGAGTTCACAGACTCAAACAGTTTGTGCCCATTTTTTCCCTGGCCAAAGGCTTGGTTGGCCCGGCTGGTTGATCGCCGATCGCAGGTCGCCAGGCCGCGGCCCATCAAATCCTCCGGAGGCAGGGGCGAGGCTTTGGGGCACGCCCTGCACGGGTTGCCAGAAATCCCGAGATGGAAACGATGTCCACCACAGGGGCCCCAAGAGTTCATAGGAAAGCCTTGCTTCTATGTTTGTTTGCTTGCTTGCTTGCTTGCCTGCTTGCTTGCTTGCGCTTGTTTGTTCGTTTGTTTGCTTCTTCTTTGTTGGTATGTTTGTAAGTTTGTATGTTTGTATGTTGACTTGTTTGCTTGTTTATTGGTGTTTTGTGTGTTTGTGTTTTGTTTCCCGTGCGTTCATTTGTTCTTTTGTTTTTTGGGGCAGGGAGTGCCATTGGCTTTGTGAGCATCGATTGCAAGGGCTTATCTGCTTCTAGATCTGCTGTTGGTCCAAAGGGTCGAGCCAAGGGAGGGGAGAAGCATGAAGGTGTTCTGGTGTGCAGCACTGGCACTTTACTCTCTCTTCCTGGGTTTGGACGCGATACTTTCTGGGTTTGGCCCATTTTGGTGGCAAATTGTTTGACCAATCCACTCAGGAAGTGAGTCCTCGAGTCGAGTTTACGAAAGATTGCCAGAGGTGCTTGCTGCTGAAAGCCGGACACCCATTGGAGAGATAGAGAAAGAGAGACCATGGCGATGTCCCAAAAGTTCGGGAGAGGGTCGCCAGGTGGAACAATGTCATGACAAGGAAATGTATAACCTCCCCCGCAAAAAGCAAGGATTTGCTTGTCCTTGAATTTGCCTTGAAAACCACTAGCAAAAGGTACCCTCGAGAAATCACAGACCCACGCCTTCCTTTAGCCTAAAGTTTCTGCACTTCCGGTGTGGTCGAGCTGCACGGAGCTGCCTTTGTGCAGGCTGACTCATGCACTAGCCTTTTTATCATTTGTGAAGGGAGGATAATTGTGCAGGATTTCCTCTATTTCTCTTTTTGGAGCCTCAAGAAGTGGCAGTTTCAATGCAAACCGCTAGTAAGCTGATCGACCTTTGAAGGGGAAATCCAGTGACACCTGTTGTAATCAATGTTACAAGGGCTCTTTCCTGGAATGTGGTACCCTCAAAGAACGTGGGTCCTTTTTCCCTTCAGTTTTGACTTTTCGCATGCCCCCAATGTTGCAGTCCAAGTTCGATCGTTTCGGGTCGGGACACCAAAAAAAAACAGCGGACAGACTGTGACGGACTGACTGGAAAGGCAAACTGGGAAGGTCTATACCAGTCTATCCAAGTCGGGGTATTGGCCCCTTGTATAGACCGGTAAGGTTCAGCCCCTGACCCCATTGCTCACACTGAGGCATCGAAGCGTCCCTGCTGGCCTGATTTGGGGCGTGAATCGACCCACACCAACGGAAGCGTACGACGTATCTTGAATTCCACACACAGAGACGGATATACGTAATATATATATAGTGCGTGCGTGTTATGTACGTATTTTAAATTTATGTCTGTAAGTGTCCAGCTGCTTTGTCCCATGGTCACCTGCATCTGAAGCAGAGCGGGCTTGGGTGCTTGTCTCTCTGTGCTTTGAGATTTCCGATTGGAAGGACCTAGCCAGCTTCCGCATTCCAATATTATAGTTGCCTGAGACTGTAGTTACTACACTGTAGTTGAGCTTTGACAAGGTGACACTGGCAGATTCTGGGCAGATACTGCAAGCGAGACATGTCAAAAGCTGTTCATATTGACACGGAATCGACGAGTGGTTTTTGGCCTTCGAGGGTTTGTGGATTGGTCCACCTTGGGGTGTCCCCCAAACGACACACCCCACAGGTCTGAAGCTATCGCCCCCACAGGTCTGAGGATTTGCTTTTCATTGGGAGACCTTAGCCAGGCCCACCGAGGAAGCGCCCGAGAGCGGAGATGATGAGAACGAGGGAGCCCAGTCCTGAATGTGACCTGTTGCTCTTATGTCAGTCCCTTCAATCAATAAGGGATCCCCTTTGTGAAGCATCCAGGCGTGTCTTTCTTTGCCTTCAAGCTGTTTAGCTGCACCCTACATCAATTGTGTGATGAAACAATGTCGAGTTGCCTTTCCCTCAAGACTGCGCGATTGAGGCTGTGCGACGCCATGTTGATGGATAATGTTTGCAAGGAGCATGAATCCACCTCTTTGAGATGATTTGCCTCCCAAATCAGAAGTGCTTCAACACCTGGGCCAAGTCCTGTGAGGATTCCATAGATCACGCGTACTGAAGTAGTCTGGGGGATCCACCCATTGACTTCCAGATAGGGGTTTTTGGGGATGAAACAAGAACCAGAAAATGGCATTGAGAAACTTGCCCAAGAGACGCGAATTCTTGTCACTTCAGAGGCGCAAGGGGAAATCATCTCAGCAGTGACATTTGTTTGTCATGTCGGCTGGCTAAAAAGTAGGCGACGGCAAAGGGCATGGCTGCTCTCCAGTGATCAGTGCAATTTCGCAGTCGGTTGCCAATGTGAGTTGCTCGTCTTGTTTAGAGGGTACCCCTTTTATTGGTGGTTTCAAAGGGAAACCAATAGGAACCCACCTGGGTATGGATCAAAGTTAGACCACCAACTTACGGACTGCAGGTTTTGGTGCTCTCCATTTACCAGGGCAATCCATTTTGAGGTTACCCCATTTTTGGCAACCACACCACACCTATTTCTGGTGTTAACCACGTTGAGTCAAATCGAGTCATTGAGGTGCCGCGACGCCGCGGTGCCAACGCCCGGCACAGAGTTGTTCGACGGGTAGCCGCTACTGACGATGTGACGGTGGTGGTGATCATCGAGTCACGGTTTGAGCTGCACGTCTTTTTCGGAGTTGAAACCATGTTGGTAGTTGCGTTGTTTGTGGTGTTAAAGGAAAATCAAAAGCACATTTTGGTGGGTCCCCTAAAATATTGACACACCCAATGTTTACAAGAAATGGGCGGTTTTTAGTTTTGGTAGTATTCTGAGGCTTGCCCATTAAACTTATGAGATCTTGGATGATTGGGCAATTTCCAATTTTCATAGTGGTACTATGATGGCAACATTCGCAATGAATTCCCACGAGCGTGAGGGGAGCTGCGTCTTTTTGGATACACTGCAATCCCTGACAGCCCGTGCATGACACCTTAAGCTCAACCCCCACTTTGCGCTTGACATGCATGGTATGGGCGTGTCCTACATTTGGGGCTTCTTTTGGTAGATGTTCAACAAGATAACAAAGGATACCAAGTTATACCAACCTATTGTAATTCCTGTGAGATTTGACATTTGTGATCTTCCTACTGAGGGCAAGCGCCTGCCACGCATCGCGAAAACCGCGAAGTGCCTTGGAGGGAAGGGTGAACGGATGTGGGTCCGTCATCTTCTGAGGTTGCTTATGGGGGAAACACTCCTTTTGAGGCTCCCCAAATGTTGAGATAGACCCATGTCGCGCATGCTTCACAGTGCCTTTTTGGAGACTCCAACTCGAGTCATCAACATCAGCGACGCAGGCTGAGGCGCAAAGGTGCAACTTCCCTGTCTTTGACCCTTTGTGGCTCAGTTGTTCAAATCGAATCGACCTTTTGACCTTTTGGTTTTCCCTTCTGGGTCCATTTTGTCATGGCCCCAAGAGGCTGACCTTTGGGCAAGTCAAGCACGGCAAAGAAGGAATTGCAAAACACAGTGTATTCCCCATCGCTTGATCAAGTCTCGCCATGTCATACCTATGCCTCGTCTTTTTGAGACCCGGTACCCCCAAAAGTGGAGAGACCAAAGGGAAAGCAAATTTTATTTGTTGGGAGGGATCCCCTAACACAAGACGAGCCACCCATATGGCATCATCTCAGTTGGGTCGTTGCACGTTTCAGAAATCGTGCTCGAATCACCTGACAGGCCTGAGGAGGAGTTTTTGTCCCTGTCAGAGGCGCAGGCGCGTGGACAGAGGGCAAGCTTCTGCGGCTAGTGGAGCAAACGCTCAGGGGCCAGCCGGTACCCAGAGTTTTTCTCAAAATTGCGGCGACGCCTACACAACATTTTGGTAGAACCCAAGTCAATGGATTTTAAGCGCTGCTCATTTGGGAACAGCTCACCATCCAGTTTCCCAACGAGCTCTGTGATGATTTCTTGCCTAGGAAGGGTCACGAGGTCATATCAGGAGTCTTGCCTATGTTATGGATCTCGGATTTGTCCAGCTAAGATTGAACGAATGAAAGAAAAGAAAGCAAGAGTCTGAGCCCCAACCGTCCGTACGAGTCCCTGCGTGGACCTGCCAAGCTTGCTGTTCACCTTCCTTTGCCATGAAAACAATTACAATTGAATCACGTGTCCATTGTGCCTGGAAAGGTAAGAACCGTACCCGCTCAAAGGAAAGGAAACTCCAAAAAGCCACTCCCAAATCATTCGCCCAGCATTGACCATTGAAATGAAACCACGTGGCAGGGCCACGCACCATGCCACAGCACCCTCGCACCAGGGCTCACAAAACTTGGAGTGCTGGCTGTCTCATTGTTTTGGTTTTTTTGGGGGGGGACCCCCCTTTTGCGCTGGTAGGACAAAATCAAACACCCTTTTGGGCTGATTTCAGGCGACCGGGAAGTCACGGGTCCCCCGCTTCCCCCCCCCCCCGGCGTGGACGCGGACGCGCAGGTGGCGGTGGAGAAGTACCGGCAGCGCAGCCGGGCCGCGGAGGCCGCCATCCAGGCGATGAGCCCGAAAATCCAGTCGCATTTGGACGTGGATGCCCGGAGACCATTCATTTCCAAAGTGGAAACCAGGAACCCATTCATTTCCAGCAATGAAAACAAGCCAGGGGATCCATTGAACCTAGAGGTAAAAGCGCTGGTTATAGTGGTAAGCGAATCGGGACTGGGTATGTCTCATTGGGTCGCTACCTCGTTGCGGTTCCCAGTTCGATTTCGGCGCTTGGGGCGGCTTCCGGAGAAAGGTTCTGAGTTTGTTTGGGTGGTTGCGTGGTTTGGTTGGGTTTTTCTAAAAGCTTTTTGGGTGGTTGAGTGTTCACCCAAAAGTGTGCGACTTTTGGCAGATCTAGGGATTGGGTGGCTCCGCCTTTTTACACCTTTTTTGGCGGTTTTACACGGAAACCAAAAGGAAAACCGTCGCGCCATTCTGGGGGGACCCCTAACAAAGACACAAGACACACCCCTTTGGATGGGCCCTTGTTGGTCGGACCTTCAGAATGAGGCGAGAGCGTTCCTTCTGGTTTTCCCTTGCAAACCACCAAATCCTTCTGGTTTTCCCTTGCAAACCACCAAACACCGGGGACTCGCAAATTTAGACAAGCCCAGTTGATTGAGGCGTAAACCCGGCTGGTTTGTATTTATCCTGGTACATTCGAGCTTAGCTAAGAATGAATCCCTGCTTTTTTCAGTGCAGATTTGCAGATTTACACGTGCAACCCTTAAAGTTCAAGCCATCCGAACTGCGGTTCTCTGATTGTAGGAAACATCTAGCTCAGTGCTTCTCATTTCTGACTCAGAATTGAAGCTACAGGGTTTACCCTCAAGTTTTCCAGTCGTGGGATGCACTGAAAGCCTATCAGTTGGAGCAGCAACAAAGAGCCTCTAAACGGCAAGGGACGGTGAAAACGTGTTCACAGCCCAGGGTGCCTTTTGAGGCCACGTGGGGCTCGGATCCGAGGGCATGGGACCTCTCTTCCAATGAATCGATGCTTCCCACTACACGGTACAGAAAGGGATCCTCACGTGAAGATGACTCAGATGATGCCACGTTTGATCCCGCCGGTGAATTTTCGTATTTGAACAAATGTGTGTGTGTGTGTCGCTGTTGGAGCCTTGGCACTTTTTGTTGGAAGGTTTTACAGGGAAATCAAAAGGAAAAACGTTGCACCAGTTCAGGGGTCCCCTGAAAAAGACGTAACCCCATCAAGTCTGGAAAACTCCATTGGATTTTTGATGGCTGACGCACGCCTTCTTTTGCTGGCAACGAAGTCACACCCGAAGGCCTCTGTGGAGAGGTTTGACCGGGGCAAACGGCTTCAGGACTGCTTGCGGGAGCATCTGAACCGACATCTCCCCTTTCATTCTATGACTCTTTTCGAGCTGTACCCTCCCCATTCTCTTCAGGGATCCTTCTATTTCAAAACATGGGCCAAACCCTCAAAAATTGGTGGTTTTAAAAGAGAACGATGGGTGGAGAGAATGGATGTTCTCATGGTTGGTCACTGGCTTTTGAGAACACCCAAGAGTCTATCAGAATGGGCATGGCATTCCTTTGCAGGAGTATACGGCCAAAAATAGCACTTGCTGACAAACACCCAACGGGCCAGTGCTGGCACACATGACAGTACACGGCACAAGCATAGCCAGTTCGTGTATGCTGACTTGCATCATACTACATGAAAGCCGGACAGTGTTACCACAGGAACTCGGTAAGCGAGAAACAAAAGGTAACAAACCTCAGTCTGCAAAGGCAATGAGACTATCACAATCCGATACCCTGATTATGTTGTCCAAGTTGCAACCAAGCGTGTCCAACAAATCAGGGTCATGGTGTCTTGTGAGCAAGACGGGCTGATGCTGTAAATAAAGCATCGCACGGCCAGCCATGTCGTAGAACGTATATGGCCAACTGCCTTTCGACAAGGACAACAAACCAAAGTTCTAACGGTCGGGACGTTAGTGTTGGACACGACAGCTATGGCGCGATGTGTTAAGAGCCTAGGGTTGCCCCAATATCCATTGTGTATTGTGTTGTGAGCAGCTTAAAGGTTTGAGTGTACAGTTTAAGGTGCATATATGCTGTTTATTATCTAGACATATACATATATATATATATATGTGTACGGGTCGTCGTGTCGGCACCCGAAGTCTTAAGTGAATCGTGTGTAGAACATCAGGCGCTGCGTTGTAGAACTTGAGGGATGTGTGGCACGAGGTGCTGTGTTGCAAGATCCAAGAGAAGCAGAAAGCCTCAAAGCGGGCGACTCAGTTCCTGTTACAAGGAATTCGCAGTCATCCAAAAAATGAGTTTAACATTTAAACGCTGTGTTAAAGCCAACTGTCTCTGGGGGTCCATGTCACAGACCTTCGGGTTTCCACCACTCGTGTGGAGCTTGGCAACGGAAGCCTCCACACTTAGTCTCCAGGAGCCGCTGCTGGACGACTTGAAGCAGCTGAAGAAGTTCGTTGCGTCAGCAGGCCATTTCCACATTCACCGGCCTGTCAAGTGCGGAAAAAACGGAAGTTTGTTTGGTCGCACGAGGGTCAGATCGTTGTACACCCAAAATGTAATCATGGCTTGTTCTAAGTTTCAGCAAGTGACGAGAATATGAGGGGACGGTGACTTCTCATTGCTGTGTTAATGGTGCCCCGCCCGCAATGCCATAGATTCCTGAACTACCTGCATTTCTGCTCACCAGCAAAGAGAGTAAACAGCGGCTCTCTGTAGGCCACTCCATGGTTTCAAGGTCTGCAACAGCAGCTGGTCCTCGGAGACCATTAACTGCCTCACGTTTGAGGCAGTTTTGCCCCCAAGCGCGGTTCCGCCGTCGCTCTAGCGCACGACAATGACTTTGCTGGCCGCAAGGGATTGCTCTTTTCGTGCAGACCACATGCTCCAACATCTTGTTCGGGGATTTCACAGGGTTTTGCAAAGAAAAAGAAAGAATGAAAGAGAAAGGGGGTGCTCGCCCAACCCTAAACGAGTTTTGGGCTTCCAGCTATGATCAGCATACGCATATTCCCTGACATTTGCCCTCGGTAGTTAATCAGCACGGCTGCTTCCTTACATCCTACTTCAGTAACCAGCAGTTTTGCCCATTGGGTGTGCAAAACATTCTTGCAAGCGATGTTTTTTGTGCTTGCGGGTGCCGCCATGTTGCGCGAGTAAAATTGGCACCTGGCACCGATGAAGATGGGGTGCTGTTCCTGCAAGCCTCGGCTTCAAGGATTCCGCGCCCATTTCCCCATCTTTGCATCCAGCGGTGTTCCTTTGTTTTTTTGACAAATGAGCGGTTGAGGCCTATACTTTACTTATTTGTCTCTACCAAAAACATGAATGTTTGCAGTTGGGAGAACCAGTCGATGATGCTTCCATAAGCAGCAAGAAAGATGCCAACGCGTAACCCTCGACATTCGCGCAGATCGACACAGACCACACTTGCCGGATGCTCAGATCGCTTCGGTCCTTGCCATGTTGGACCCACCCCACAAAAGGGTGGTGTCCCTTCCGGTTTTCCCTTAAAACCACCAATAGTAGGCCACCCCCCAAAAAAATCACAAGCCCTGGTTGCGATTTGATGTTGCATTTGATGTGGGACCTGTGGATCCTCGGCCCCCTGTGGAGCAAGCTCTGCGGCCAGGAGAAAAGTCGGCCTAACATAGCGCCCTCACTTGAGCTGCACTTGATGCACTCCAGTCTTCTTAGTACTGTTGGCACAGTTGTCGGATCGATGGCATGATGGACATCTCACATATTGCTCTTGAAGCTTTTGCAGCTGCAGTGCAGGCTGTTCTCTCACTGAGGTTCAAGTTGAAGTATTGAAAGCAAAGTACTGAAATGACATGACATGACATGACATTAAATGAGATGAATGAAGGAAGAATTGGAATGGATCGAATGGAATGGAAAGGAATGCAATGAAATGGAATGAATGAACATGACATGAAATGAAATGACACAATATGAAATGAAATGAAAGGAAACGATGAAGGAAGGAAGGAAGGAAGGAAGGAAGGAAGGAAGGAAGGAAGGAAGGAAGGAAGGAAGGAAGGAAGGAAGGAAGGAAGGGCGGGAGGGAGGGAGGGAGGAAGGAACGAGCGAACAAACAAATGAGTGAATGAATGAATGAATGAATGAATGAATCAATCAATCAATCAATCAATCAATGAATCAATGAATCAATGAATCAATGAATCAATGAATGAGTTAATGAATGAATGAATGAATGAATGAATGAATGAATGAATGAATGAATGAATGAATGAATGAATGAATGAATGAATGAATGAATGAATGAATGGACATCAGCCAGTCAGTGAGTCAGTCAATCAGTCACCCGATCAAGCAATGAATCCATCCAACCAATCAATCATTGATTGCTTGGCAAACATACCACGAAGCAACACTGAATGCATCAGCTGGCAGTTTTCAAGAGGACCGAATCATCACAAACAGGCTTGGGGAGTTGGCTGTGGACATCATGGTGTCCAAGTCCTAGGTACAGGGGAACCCTTAAGCTGCTTGGTTTCCCCTTAACTCCCCTTTGAACTGCAAACCAACCCCAAAAAAGGCGAGCCCTCAAAAAAACATCAAGCCACCCATGTTGAACGCAACTCAGCCACCGGGTCACCGGTTACGTCGCTCGGGGGCGAATGACGCAGCGAGGCTTCTGGAGCGCCGGGTGGAGGTGGGCATTCGCCACACCTTTCAAACCGCGAAGTCCAAGAAGGCGATCGCCATCCGATTCGAATCGGCGCAGGTGTCTCGCGCGTTATAGTTGGTGCGTGTGTGTGTGTGTGTGTCGTTTTGTTTTGGCAGCTGGACCCGAAAACTGGATATAGGTGTTTGTTTGGTTTGTCGCTTTGTGTTTTAGGAGCTGGACATCCCCAGCCCCAAGATGGAAAGTTGGGGGAGGGGGGTGATTTCTGGAGTTACATGTGTGGTTCCATTTTGCCTTGGGGAAGACTAGATAAATCAAATCATCGGACCCCCACCACCACCCCCCCTTAAGGTAGGGGGGATAGTTGGACCCAAACATGGATTTCGGTTTTCGTGTTGGTCCCCTTTGAACTTTAAACCCACAACAAAGGGGTACCCTCAAAACTGAGACACCCATTTTGTTGAATGTTGTTGAATGTTGTTGATGTGTTCCGTAGAAGCGCTGCACGCTTTGCTTAAAGTCATAAGTGCCTCTTTATGACTTGTTGATATGAATGGGCAGGCCAAGTTGTGCAGCGGAGCGCTGACAAAAGGATGGCTGAATGTGTGCGTGTGAGGTGTTGGGAAGATGGACTGAGTGATCCTTGTATCTCAGTTATCCTTGCGTATTAGAGCAACAAACGAAGTCAATTATGGAACGGCAAATTTCAAGATGTAAGAAACTGCTGCTGATGCCGCTGCCACTGCTGCTGCTGGCGTGGACCTCTATGAACTGCAAGTTAGCAAAAGGCACTCCTGTCACCTGTCTACTCAGGTTTTTGCAATCATTGTAGTGCTTTCAGAAATCGCGCGACCGTGCTGGCGGGAGCAGGAAATACTCTTTGCCAACACCAATAAGCACACTAGGTTGCATGATTCTCCTTGCTGAGGCTGACAGAGACAGGGGCGGAGAGGCCTCATCACAAAGAGCAGTAATCCTATGCAATACTCGCAGTTGTTCGTGACAAGCCCAACTGAAGCAGCAACCACAATGCTGCTTTGTTGCATCACTACAACCTTCTATGAGCGCCATCACCCATTAGCATATGGGTGTGTCTCTTCATTAGGGCCCTTTAAAACCACCAAACAAGGTGTACCCTCCAAAACGGCACACCCAATTTCAAACGTTTGTTCCAAGCCCTGGGCGTGTCAATCGCAGCTGCGTCTCAGGTCAAGCGCTGGGATGAAGGCGGGGCTCCTGACCCCTCAATGCGTGGGAGAAGATCTGAGGCTGTGGCTGAACGGACCATACTTAAAGGGGCGATCGATTCGGTATGTCAGGTAAGTGGTTGTAAGAACCATGGTGACCCACAAAAGCCATGGTGATGTTTGTCTCCGTTGAGTGGGTTATGTCGCCACTTGCTTGACGTACTCTGCCTCGATCGCCCCTTCAAGCAGGCTTACACCTTAGCGTCAGCTGACGAGCTTGGACGGAGTCCATATCAATGTCAGTCGGAAGATCTAGATGGAGCCTGAGGCTGCTGAGGCCAGGGACAGGTTTAGGATTGAAGGCGGTGCAGAGTCCAACGCTTGACAGCAGGCCAGCAGGGAGAAAACCAACCACATCCAAGAGCTGCAACAAGTAATGTAGTTGTCTAAGTCACTCTTACAGGGACAAGTGGATCGTTGGTTTGTGTCATTGGCACACCAGATGTCATCGTCATCATGTGTTATTGTTCAGAAGCTGGGCTGACAAGCGGCACATGGCTAGTTGAACAACTTCGAGCTTTCTTGCCCGCAAAGGGGACTGGGACCTGGCTGCCGAAAGCACATTTTTGGACAAACCGAACACATGCTTCGGACCATGTTTTGATGAGCTGAGTCAAACGACTACTTGCCCACGAGAGTTGGCCAGCCCACTTGTTCGGTAGCACCCGTTCTCCCCTTTTGTTTGGTGGGTTACTAAAGCGGCTCAACCCCGAAAAGAAACGATTGCTTCTTCCACCGTTCCGGTGACCTGGGAAGGGGACCAGACCCACTCCTCCCGCTAGGGTCACAGCCGAGCTCCAAGTCCTCGCTGGGGCCTCATTCCCTGCCGGAAAACATGCGGATGGGGAAATGTTGACCCCTCCAAAAGTGAAGGACTCCCACTAGGGGACACCCCGAGATCAGAATCAACCACGGGTTGATTTAATCTGGGGTTGACGTTGGGCCGATTGCTTTCACCAACCGCTGAAAGATTGCTATTGCACGACCATTTACATGGGCCAGGACCATCAAAACACATTGACGGTTCCGCTTTCCATATCAGATTTACTTGCAGGCGATCGTTTCGAAGGCAAGCACAGTCTCGAAAAAATGATAGATGTGTGTGCAGAGGCATGTTAGCGGCGCCAAACCGAGTCCCCCGTTTTGACTGCCCAGGAGGATACTTTGCATGTTTGATTGGCTTGGTGCTGGGCAAGCTGTCGAAATTGCAAAACACCTTTGTCTTGTCGAGGTTGCAAGAGGCCGAGTTCGAAAATGCATGGTGCTTCAGAGCAATGCATTTGGCTGCCACAAACCTGCCACTGACCCCAGGTCCTCCTCTGCAACAGACTCTTGGAAGCACTATGGCCGGGCCATGATTTGGTGCCCAATCTGGTAAATGGGAATGGTCAGCAGGCTTCTTAGATTCGGTGTTTGATGGATATAAAGTTATAAGTTATGCAGCATATGGAAGCAGACAGCTCTCACTCATTGCGGTCCCGAGTGCCAGCAAGTTGTCAGCAGTTTCATGCAACTTGTATACATCCATATTGTCGCAAGATAGGGGACCCCCGAAACTGATGGTTCCCCTATAGTTCCCTTTTTTTCCAACCCAAAAAAGGATACCCACAAAAACACCGGCCCCATACACTTGATTCTGCCAGGCTGAGAGATCCAAATGGGTACTTGGAAGCCACGCATTTCGCTGGATTCATCTTAGCTTTCGGATGGGTAGCGCGTCTTTTTCTGTGTCGGCACCCCTTTCTTGGTAAGGGTCAACAGAGAAAGGGGACAGCCAGATAGCCAAGCAGATGGGAATATTCTGAGACGCACAAAAAGTATCCTCCATGTCGTCCAGAGCTTGCAGAGCTGACGAGGACAGTGCTAAGATTTCGCCGCAGCCTTGGATGATGTCATGGGGGCTTGGGGGGGATGGAGGGGGCGGGGAGCCCAAATACGCCCTTATTAATCTGCATTTGCATAAGAATATGTGGTATGTTCCCGTGTTGGTTTCAAAGAGAATCTGTCACTATTGGAGATATGTTTAGTTTTACTTGGGGGCTGAAGCAAATGGAGGATGAGGCCTTATCAAGGGCGTAATAGGGAAATACTAAGGCTCCCTCCACCCCCTGTCCCTCCCCCAGCCGCCATGATGACAGTGAGGGCAGATTTGATTCCAACGTAAAGACAGGAATGCCTTGGTCACTGCTCAACTCAAAGTTGTTGATGACATGCCACACATTAGCATGCATTGCTCAGCTGCATGCTTCGTTGGCTGAAGGCCAGGCCGTCAGGCCGTCAGGCCGTTGGCCTTGCTCAGGAAGAAATCCAAGCCTGAAGCAAGCGAGACCGGGCGCGCTTCTTAGACTGCTGTGCTCGACGGGGTGTCTGCCTTTTCTGGAGTTCTGCAGAGCTAGTGACCTTGGGCCGAAGTCAAACTGCATGAAAACCATTTGGTTTCCAATCCAAGCTGGATCAACGTTTGGCGGGATGGGTGGCTTGTGTGTCGCTCCACTGAACCAACTGCCAGGGGAAGTTTCACACATGGGCCGTGGGAGGCTCCGCTCTCAGCTATGAAGTGGCCAAGCGAACCAGGGAACTGGGTGATTGAACGATTCAACGGCAGAGCTAGAGTTCATGTTTCGTACATGGAGAATGTTCATCCAAAGTCCCAAGGCCGAAATTGCACGCCCCATGATGTGTGTTTGTGTGTGTGTGTGTCTTCAGGGGTTAGTCGATTGTGAAGGTATGGCCCAGATCGCAAGTTTCCGATGGAGAAAAAATATTGTACCAGCTATGGCCAGTGGGAGCCATTAACAGCCCGAGCTGAGGCTGACATTCCGCGGCGACCTCAGGTTGGCAAGGGAGCTGAGGTCAGGCAGATTGGCAAAAAGAGGCTGAAAGCATGTGTCGCCATACTTGCAATACTGGGACCACCCATGCTGGAGGTTCTAAAACAGGTGTCGTACTGTTTCGAGGGATCACGAGCGACATGCCACTCTCCCACATTGCGACACAGGACCAAATTTCCAGGACCTACTTTGCATGGACGAAATCCTGCATCACCCAAGAAACCACGGAATGATGATTTCCCTGTAAATATCAGCAAATAACGGCTTCCCATGGTTTAAAGTGGTGCAGGATTTCGTCCATCCACGGTATGCATGTAGCTTCTTGACAACCAAAACTAGGCCGGCTGATTTCTTTCAGCTGGCAGCAAGCCAAGACTTCTTCTGCAAAGGCAGGTCATGCCTGCCTTCACATGGCTACATTGGCAAACAAGATATCGCAGCACACAACTCCAATTGAGCAATACATTCAAAACTCACATATATATATATATATACACATATATATATATATATATTCTACATATCCAGAAAGCACCACACCAACACCCACCCCACTCAGTCCGAAGCTAACCTATCGCGGCCATTTACTGGCCTGGGTTACGCCTTGCCAGACTCAACCGCTCCTGTTGCCTCTTTGAGTCTCAGCCGCCACTTTCGCAAGTGACATATTAATATAGCTAGGTGTGTAGACATTATATTTGATTTATTCATTTTTATATACACATGAAGGTATATTATATACATATCAATATGTCTATGCATACATCCTGGAACCCCGCCTTCAGGTAGCTCCTGGATTGACGGTTCAAAAAATATGCCAATCTGCGATCATCAATCTAAATACAGTGGAAAGTGCGTTAGAAGCACAACTTCGGTAAGTACAGTAGGGGGCCATGTGATTGCCTTTACCCCGATAGATGTTGATGCATGTGACGCGTTGTGCGTGCGTGCCTCAAGTGGGTTCCTCCTGGCATCATGTCTAATTGGAATTTCCCCGACGGAGCCCGTGCATTGGGTCACGTCTTGTTGAAACCCCAAAAGGTGCGAACCAGTCGCTGAGGCCGAGCACAAGCCCTTCTAAAGAGTGCCTGCCCCATCCGATCCAGAAACAGGCGGGCTTCGGGCTGTCTTTCGGGCAAGTGGAACAAAAGAGGGGTAAGAAATGGGCATGTCTCTGGTTTTTAGGGGAACCCCAAAATGGTGGGTTTCCGTTTGGTTTACCTTTAAACCCACTAAAGACAGGTACCTGCAAAAACTTCTCTTGAGGCTCGGTACCCGCGTACCAAACCACCAGTTTGGGGGGTCTAAAAGAAGACACCCCCAAATCACGGCAGAGGCCTGCTAGACTGTTTCTTTCTCTTCTTGATTTTTGGGGGGGTGGGGTTACTGAGGAATCTAACCCCCAAACAGACAATCCGTGGGCTGATGCCAGATAGCGTGTCATGTGAGCAAGTGCCAGTCTTGCCTGAGAAGTCCGCAGCGTTGCCAGGCGGAATCTCCAGAGCTGTCTCCAGAAGAGGCAGGGCAAAACTGGCATTTGAGCTACCACAGAAAGGTCGGTACAAGGGATGTGTATTGGAGTGCAATAGGGTCAAAAACCCGCAAATCCAAGGCGCGACCGTTGGCCAGGCTTGCAGGTGCTTAGGTGCTTAGTTGACGGAGAGGTTGGTCAGCACGGCGTGACAGACCGACCTTCAATCCTTGCCATTGTCAAGAGGTTGTAGCCTGCAGCCGACGGAAGTTTTTGCCATTGCCTCTCCGATTTCGAGGCGGAGCAGCAGCTCTTTAGCCTGGCACAGGACATCCAGACCAAGGAGATGGCTAGGGGGCCCGCGAGGATTTTTTTTTTAGGTCTCCGTTTTTTGAGATCTCCGCGGGAAGGCTTCCCAGCTGGTGCTGGCATGGCTGTTTCTGTTTGTTGTTTTTTGTGGTTTTTGTTTTAATGTTTTGGATTGATTTGTTTGTGTGCTTGTTTGGTTCATGGTTTAGTGGGAGGCTGCCAAAAAACGGCTTCTTTGCTGCCGCACCACGAGTTGGAACGAGTAATGCTGACACCAGATTCATAAACCCCTGGTTGATTTTCATGGGGGGTGTCCCTTGAAATGTGGTTTAGCGGGAATCCGTGTATCACTTTTGTGAGTGACTCCCCCTGAATAAGAGGACGGAGTTATTCTTCCGGGATCAGCATCAGAGTTTATCCCAAAATGATCAACCCCCTTTCGGGTGGTTAAAGGGAAGCCAAGAGGAACATGCCGGAAGAAAACCATTTTGAGACCCTGTCACACGGAAATGATGTCCGCCATTTAAAAGGCAGACTCACAAATTGAAGCAGAAGCTATCCGCCCCCCATGTGTTTGTTAGTCTGGCTGAGTCTTCTGATATGGCACCTTCCTTGTCACACGGATCAATAGTGGATGGCATGTTTGGCTTCTTACCACCATGGCGGGAGAGTTCAAAGTGAAGCCTTCCTATGAATTGGCGGGGATTCTGATTGAGTGTCAACACGTTCGATGGCGTCACTACATATAGACCGCAAAGGGTAAGATGCATGTTTTTTTTGGGGGACGGAATCAGAGCCGGCTCCTTGCCATTAAAGACATGTTCAGCCTGTCGCTGCAGAATCCAGTGCCTCATAGCTTGGAGGGTCTCAAGTCTGCAGTGCTTGACCATGGCAGGGCAGACAGATATAAGATATGGGTATGGGTCAAAACTGAACCACCAGGGGACCGCAGGTTTTAGTCCTTGGTTCTATTTGCCAGGGTTCCATTTTGAGTACCTAATTTTGACCCACAGCCATATCTGCCGAAACGTTTGAGATGAGCTAGCTTTGATTAATTGCAGCTCTACTCAAGTTTGAAAGGGGGACTGCGTCAAATGACGAGCGCTGCAGCAGATGCACTCCATGCAAAGGTCTAGCAGCTAAGCAACCGGGTCAAGCCAAACTAAAAAAGTGTGACGAGGCCAACATCTGCACTTGTTGGATGCTGGTCCTTTGTCTGTCTGGCTTCAATTTCCGAGGGGCTAAGATTCCCTCGAGGAACCTGGCGGGCTACGAGTTTTGTTTGCGAATTCCCCTTGAGTGGCCGTTCTTGTTGGTTTGTTTCAACGTTTGCTTTTCGCAGGGGATTCAATTTCTTGGGCTGAGGCGCAGTCCCTTCGACTTCAAAGAAGCCCAGGCTGGGTGACTCCGGAGGGTCCGGCGTGTTTGAGCCATAAATGGTCATGTGCTTCAAAGAGTGTTTTTTGATTGAATGTCGGGAAGGTTGAAAGCGCATGGTTTGATGTTTGGTACTGCACCGGACCGCGGATGCACGGACCTCGTAGAAGTTCTTCTATCATGGCCTCAGAGTTGTCCTCGTTCCCAAGTCAGACTTCAGCCCCTTGACATCTCGCCCGCGCAGGTGTCCAAACATTTTGTGAAATTGTATACATTCATGCGGAGGACGGATGTGTCCTGTTTTTGTTGACGTGATCCTTCGTGTGCTTCAACCGCAGGAATGCGCGATACCACCAGCAGCAATCAAGACTGGCGTGGGCCTCAGTCAGCGTGCCTGTGTGGCTTGCACCTCAGGCCTCAAAGCGTGAGAGATACTTCAAGGGGCATGGTACATCAGGCAAGTGGTTGTAAGACCCATGGTGAGATAACCCACAAAAGCCATGATTATCAGTCTCCGTTCAGTGTGTTATCTTATTAGGCTTACTAATCACCTGCTAAGTACCCGATCGCCCCTTTTATGTATGATATCTTCAGCTTGAAAGCAGTGTATGCCATGCAGGACCACACAAATTGAAGAATTCACAGAAATGGATATCGAGATCACGTCCAGGTGAACAGCGCAATTGTGCAAGTCCCCCTTTTTTTAGGGGCATCCCTTGTTCCAGTCGGTGAATTCTGGTGATGCGTGGGGCCGAGTCTTGCTTGGGGTTTTGCTGCAAAAGTGGCACCCATGGCATCAGATAAGTCCACATGCAGCATCCCTTTCTTCCATAATTCCGGAATATGTTGGGTATATTTGATGTTAGGTATACCTTGTCTTGTACCCTCCTAACAAACATAGAACCTGCACAGGAATCGGTCCCATTAAATGGAAAGTTTGATCTTCCGGGGACCAGTTCTATGTGTCTTTTTGTTTCGGGACCTTCTTTGGGGGTTTTAAAGGGACACGAACAGGAGATGAAAAAGAAAGCCATTTTGGGGCCTCCAAATCCTCCAAAGAGACACACCCACCTCGTTCGGTGGCTCCAAATCCTTCAAATCCTCCATTTGGCGCAACCAACTCGAGGCTGGAGGCGGCGCGCTCGACCCGCTCTCGCTCCTGGGAGCACATCGAGGAGGTGGAGGAGCAAGAGGTGCGGGCCTCCCACACTAAGTGAAGACCTGGGATGTGTTTTTTTTGTATCATAGATTCTGAGAACTTGAGAAATACAGACAGGTTTGTAGGTTTGCAGGTTTGTAGGTTTGTAGGTAGGTAGTTAGGTAGGTAGGCAGGGGTGGCGTTCCAGCCCTGTTAGCATTCAAGAAGGGGGTAGGTTGTTGATTCTTCGTGTTTGTTGTTGCTTTGCTGTGTGAGCCTCGCCTCGGGGAGAAACCTCCGATTTGGGATTCCCCTGGTGAGCTTCGCTTCGCCCAGATGGGCCAACGGCCAAGGGTTGCAGGGGATCCTGTGGCAAGCCCAGGGAACAGGACCCTTCTGAATAACCATACTTTGGCCATGGCGCATTGCCTGTGATTTGGGAAGCTGGTCAGCTTCAATGCAGAACCTGCCAAATGGTGGACACACATTTTGCAAATGATGTCCAGAGGGTCCGGGATTTAAGTCTGGACCCCCCCCAAATTGCTGAGTGTTCCTTTTAGTTGTTCCTTTTAAAACCATCCAAGAAAGATGGAAATTGCCCCAAAACAACTCAAAGGAACAACTCAATCCACCTTTGGTTTGAACTGCCCCAAAACACCTCTCAAACCACCCAAAGAAGGCGGTGACTACCCTACAACAAGCCGCACCCAGACAGTTGCCTCAAGGCACCTCGGCACCGGGCGCGGCGAGCGCCCAGGCAGAGGGTCGAGCCCGACTCGTTGGCTCTAGCAATCCGAAGCCACGGTGGTTTGTCTTTTGTGAGGGAACCGACCCCCTTTTTGGTTTTATTTTTTCCTGAAAGAAGCTTTTTTTTCTGAGGGTACCCCCCTTTTTTTGTGGCTTTAAAGGGAAACTTTGAGGGTACCCCCCTGTGTCTTGTGGCTTTAATGGGAAATCAAGAGGAAACCCACCATTTTGGGGCTTGCGCATGCAGACAGGTATGGTATGGAGTCAGGGATCCAGTCGGATTTATTTGGCTCCATTTGGGTCTGTCTTTTTTTAAGATTGGGCCGCCCATCTTGCTGTTGTCCTTTTGGTTTTCCTTTACAACCACCACAAAAGGGGTACCCTTAAAAATGACGCCCATTTGGGGTTCCATTTGGATCAGTCAATCCACATGAGTTTCAGCAGGTATCAGGGTTGACCTTCGCGGCAACGGATGTCCGATGACTTGTTCATGTATTTTGCGAAATGAGTGTCCTTGTTTTTGTTGGGGGGGAGCAACTTGGTCGATTCTCAGACGTTATCAAGTCTTGTGCAAGGACGTGGGATGTTCATGTGAAGTCCAGAACTATCACCATACAACAAGCCTTGACAATGTCAAGTGTTGGTGTCCGTTAGGAATAGTCAAGCAACGTGTGCTGCTTTCAGCCCTTTGGTTGCAGGTTTGCAATATCAAAGCGGTGCAGGGAAGTATGTCCAAGGATTGCATCAGAGACTGAGAAAATGACACGGCGAGTGAGTCCGTCCCTCAAGATGGAGATAGAGCAGAATGGGCAGATGCAAGGCATCCGTGTCTTAGTCTCCAGAATCTTCAGACTCGTTGTGCTTGCTTTGCCCATGGTGCACAGGACTCCTTTGCAGTTTGTTTTGCTGGGAACCTCATGTTTTGCCAAAGGATGCCACGTGCCTCACTGTCTACATCTCCATTCTACGTTTTTCCTGCCGGAGCCAAGCTGACTCGGGGTGTGCTCCCATTCGAAAGAGTCTCTGGCCAGGTGCTTCCAGGGCCAGGCAGGGAATTTCTCGAGGGTTGGTGTTTCTCAAAATTGAGGACCCCAGGCTGGCCTCCCTGTGGCTAATTCCTATTTGAGAAATACCCCATGTAGGTTCGGAATACTGATGGTGTTCAAGATGGGGGAATAAGCTGCCAGCATCTTCGGCATGGCTCACGAAGCCAAGGCGTTTTGTGGTCAGCAAATGTGTAACATGGTACTCCGTGCCTTGGTCACACAGATGAACTGGCATGTCAGATGGAAGATTTGTGTATGTACCTCCAACTCGAATTTGAGGTTACTTTTGTTCAAAGGGTTGGGATACAGGAATTTCCGCAAAAAACAGCTTATTCAGAGTGTGTTGGGGCCATTTCCTGTAGATGGTCCTGCAACGAAACCCTTGATGTGTATTAAGCGATCTATCAGTGAGCTTGCAAGAGAACAGAGGTGAAAGGCAGCGTGAAATGATGACTCTGGACTTAGGACACGGTATTTGTTGTGTGCGTTTATCGCTCCTTCGCTTAGGTTCCCACACCTGCAGAGCAACGGGCAGCCGGCCGGCGCCACATTGTCTTCTGGAGCCTCGGCTGTGGCGGTGCGAAGGGAGCGAGGCAGCGTGTTCCACGGATTTTTGCGTGGGCAATTGCAGACTCAGCATGAGGGGGGGTCATGATCTGCTAGATAGGGCTAGTGGGTGTTTATCCTGCACCAGCAAAGCAAAAGATGTCAAAACGTGTTTTGCTCCGGACTCATTTTTCCGTGTTGGCCCATTCTTCAATGGGTTCCGAAAATGGACTATGAAATGACAACCCTGGAACATGCTTGAAGTCTTATAAATAACCGGTGTTTCACCGAACCTGAATGTTAGACTGCGGAATGCTGATGTTTGCCACATGACCGATTGTTGATTCTGATGCCGTGGCGTACCGCACTCTGGTTAGCCGGTGCCGGATCGATCTGTTGAAAAGCAGCTATCAAGCAACGGGGATACGTGCTTGACTTGCACTGCATACAGAGGTGTCGTCTTTTTTCAGGGTACCCTATTTCGGGATTGGTTTAGAAACAACCACAAGGAAGCCACCTCTTTAGAGGCTTCCCCTTTGAGACAAAGCCATTTTCGGAGTCGAGACCGAAGTGAGGCACAGCAGCGTGTGGCCGAAGCTTCTTCGTGGCAAGAAAAGCTCCAGGGTCCTGCGGGAGGCGCGCACCAAACCGCGCGCATGTTCGCGACACTCTGCCGTGAGGAGAACGACGCGAGGCGTCGCGCCTTTGGAGTGTGTGTGGGTGTGTGTTAGTTTTGCTGAGGAGGCTCAAGTTGTTGGACAGGCAAGTTTGGCTGGCCAAGCTGCTTGGCCCATGCCGTGTATTTTGCCCCTTGCTGAGATTGTTTGTCGCGACCCCAGCAGTGCATGAGTAGCTTGCTTTGGAGTCGCATGAGTCGCCTTCGCCTGTTGAAAACGGGGTTGCGCATCCAATGTGTTTGAAGCCTGACTTGATCTTTCAAGGCCAGCTTTGAATTGAAAAGAACTGGCATGTACTGATTTTGCATATTGTGGTCGGAAAGGTAGTGCGCATTTAGTGAAGATCAGACACGTATTAGCAATGCAAAACTTGGATGCATTCTTAAAGGTCACCACTCGTTTGAAGGATTAGGTTCTCATCAGTGCGGCTCCAATGCCAGGTCGCTCGCCGAGATTGCTTCGAGGATGAGGCCGAGCAGCCGAACTTCAAGCTAGATCTGAACAGCTATCACTACTCAATCCACCTCTTAGACAAGATCCTGACAACGGGGCAGGATGTCCATCAGTTCGGGAAGAGATGCTTTGTAGCGCACCTGTTTTCTGCCCAGTTCTCTGCATGATTGCCAGGGACTTTGGAGCAGATGTGTTCCAGGTCGAAACGAAGAAGTTGTTAAGAGTCCTGAGACGCGGTCGGGAGTCATTGCACTGTGGAGGAGGCTTCTGCAGGTGTTTCTGCCCAGATGTTTGCCTCAAGCTTTCTGCCAAGCTTTCAACCCGAATGTGGGTTGGCATCAGTGGACAAGGATAAGGCAGCATTCAGCATCAAGCACATCAAGGTCTGAAGCCCGATCAAGAGGGCGAACCCTGAGTCGTACAAATGAAGCCTACTCGAAGAATCCATCAAAAGGACCCGCACGTTTCGCTCCGTTGGATTCGAGTGGTTCCTAGCTGAAGATTTGGGTCTTCCAGCTTAAGCCATGGACTTTGAACACACCTATACGGAGCGGCCTGCCCAAGCCAGCTCCCTAGAGGAGACTGCCAGGAGGCAGGGCGCGGTGGCATGGAGCGCCCGAAACCCCTTAAAACGGCCATTGTGGTGGGTGGTTATGCCACCTATCTACTTTGGAAGCGTCAGAGTAAGGCATGTATCAACCTTTTTGTGAAACCATCTTAAAAGAACCAAATGTCAAGTGCGATTTCGTCGCTCACCTGGTTTGTGGCTTCCATGGACACATTTTTGGGTGGTCGTCTGAAAGGCAGTGCCCCGAAGATTGCAGAAGGGACATCCGCGTCAGCTTCCACAAAGGCATCAAGCAGAAACCGATCATTTGCTGGATCATTTGGACGGGGCTCGATGTTAAGCACAGCCGAACTTCTTGGAGAGCGCCGACAAAAGCCTTCACATTAAGCCATGCCAATGGTGCGGATCAAAGCGCGCCTATGTGTTGTGCGGCAGCGAAAGGAAGCGGTTGACCTTGCAACGGTGTTTAATGATAAGCGGAGCTTCCCCTCCAACATCCACCAGCCCCAAGCTTTCACCTGGATCTTAGGGGCCAATGAAGCGGTGCGAAGACGCGGTTAGGGCCAGCGCAGTGCGCTTCAATTAAATCACGCAGAGCTGTCCTGTCACGTTTTGGGTGCTGTGAGTATTGCAGATATTTGCTGGCGAGATCCAGCAAGTGAGGGTACAGTTGTTCAAAATCAAAGCATGGATGGCAGGTAAGTCTTTTCGCAGTTTGTCAAACCCAGCTTGCTTATGGAACGAACACTCAAATGGAGCAGAGCGCAGCGTTGAGAAGCAGAGTCCAATCGCAAGACCCCATGCAGCGGAGCATATTGATCGGCACTTCATTTGGTTAGTTGCGGGATCTACACACCGATCTAAGCCAGCACATCCAAGATGCTTGCCTCAACAAGTCATGCCAATCTAAAAAGCTCGCTTGCTCTCCAATGTGTCTCAATGTTGATGAATTTGAGTGTATATCCAATTGTTATGGGGATTGCAAGCAGTCATGCAATGGGTTTTGACCAGATGCACTCTGGCTGTTGGTTTCTTAAAAGTAGCCCTCAAATCATCAGCTTCCTCTTCTCTCCCTTGTAATGTCGACCCTTAAAAAAGCAAACTGTTTGTTCATATAGGGGGTGTCCCTGTGGGTTTAGTTGTTGGAGCTGGTTTTATCTGTGGCCGCAGGTCTGCAAAAGCCGCCGCCTGGTCCTTGGGCATTCATGTCGCAGATCCGGAAGGCACCATGCGCGCAGCTCAGGGGGGCGAAAAACTCGGAGTCGAGGCCTCCAACTCACTTCCCGACTTCCTGGGCTTGCAAAGGGTGTATTTGTTGGGAACCCTGTATTGCGAAGTCAATCCAAATTTGATTCTGGGCCATGGTCCCCGAGTCACGAATAGTCGCCTTAGGGCCTGCAATGTTTTTTGTTGGCTCCGAATCAGTAGTAAATGAGGAAGCAGATGTTTCAGAAGTTCATCGGCAGCAAGCTTCAGCGCCAGGAGGAGAGGCTTCAGCATGCACGGTCAGAGGGCCAGGGGTTATGTCTACTGTGTCATCATGGTCATGTAGGGGGTGCCTTAAAATGAGGAACCCAAGAAAGGGTGTTCTTCCGTGTGGTTGTCCCGTTCAAGCCATTTCAAGAGAGCCTCCAAAGAACAGGAGATGCCAGAGACGCAAGAGAAGGGCGAAGCAAGCTCTTCGAGCTCTTCCAGCTCCAAGAAAAAGAAAAAGAAGAAGGAGAAGAAGAAGGAGAAGAAGCTCAGCAGTCCATTGGTGTCCCGTTTCTGTTGGTCCGTAGTCATGACACCAAAAGGTGAGCCGTATGTCCAGTTGTCCTTTGGGCAAGTGAGGAAGCCAAAGAAGGAAAGAAAGGCGAAAGGGAGAGAGGCGCCTGAGCAAGCTGCTTTCCAGCTTGTGGGCGTTGCTGGCAGCTTGCGCGGAGGGCGGAGTGTCGCCCGAGGCCGAGAAGGCTAAGAATCCAGAAAAAAAGAAGAGGAAGGAGCTGTTGGCGTGAGCCTCAGAACATTTGCTGACGAGCGATCGTCAACAAGGGCAGGACAGAAGGCTGACGAGTGGTGTCTCTCCAGGCTGATGACTCATTATAAGCCACATAGCCAGTCATAGGATGCGCGCCATATGCTGAGATCCTTGTCAACATGGGTAGCTTTTGAAGTTCGGCCACACATCTCTTGTTGCCGCTTTGCACAAGTAAATCACCGTTAATTCAATCGGTTCTCGCAATTGAGTAAAATCCGCATCCTGCATCCTGACTTTTGGCCCAGATCCTGTTGTTCTGAACCCCTGTTGGCCTTTTCTGTATGCTGCACGGCGGTTTCGTGCCTAATTGACAGGTGCGACTCAAGCATGAGCGACAAGCGGGAGATGAAGAGGCATCAGTGCATGACTCAAACGAAAGTGCATGCGACCGCATGCTGTTGGCAGCTATCAGTCACACCCATGTTTGATTCTTGACCGCTCTCATAATCGGAATGGCCCGATGAAGGTGTCGTGTGCGATGCTCCCCAAGCCTGGCAGGTCGCAGTTGACCCGAAGTTCGCAAAGATCATTGATCGCCGACCATCTGCACATGGCCTCCTTTGTGGTGCTAGAAGTTATCTCAGTTCCCTCCATTAGAGACATTGTTCACTCTGCCACAGAGCAGATACCTCATATTTGCAGGTTGCTGTAGACTCCAGAGTAGCTCCAATCCTGACCCCCGGAATAGTGCGTTGACTTTTGTCGGGAAGTATTTCGCACTGGTTCTCCCATGCAAATCAGATCTCCCCCAGATCAGCAAAATGAGTACAGTAGAGCAGAGAGTAACTTTGCTTCGACTTTCCTCCCACTCTGGTAAAGACACGAGACAGATCCAAATTGACCTTGTGTTGCAACCCCAGGTTTTCGCCAGAACGTGAACCCGCTGATCCCCAACAAGTAGCAGGCCTCTCGAACGACGAGACACGCGTGGAAATCTGCCGCCATGAAGCGGCAGCTCCGCTCCCCGGGAAGCTCCTGGGAAGGCGGACTGCATCTCTGTGTGAAGATGCGAAGCGAAGCGAAGCGATGCGATGCAACGATGCGCCATGGCGAACAGGAACTGCTCCGCGTCGGTGCCAGCGACATGCAGCCGGAAGTGAGGCTTTGCCCGCGAAAGGAAAAGCGAGTGCCAATGTGGAGTGCAAGTGTATCCTGATTGAGAGGCTGGATTGTTCGTGTTGCTAGCGAAACACCTGCTGCTTCCACAGTAACGGAGTGTCAGGAGTTGCAAGACGAACGCTTTAAATGACATGGTTTAGGATCATGGCCATGTTCTCTAAGTTGCATCTCAGAAGCCTCTCGACAGTCGTCCAGATGATGACATATCATTGTAGTGAGTCGTGAGAGCGCCTTGCCACGAAGAGTCACGATCCACAGTTTATGCCCCAATGGAGAATCTGAGCATCCCACAAGTTTCAGCTGCTGCAGGGCTCTCCTTCATCGCATGCCTTCATCGTGGCAGCGAACAAGCAGGCAGATTGACATGCACATGGAAAAAAGTGAGAAGTCTCTGGCAGATGGGAACAAAGCCCAGAGTACTGCCCACACAACCTTTGCAAGAAGTCACTGCATGGGGGGTGAGGCCTGGTTTCTTCTTGTTCAAAAGGGTTGCAGGCGCACGCAGAGTACAGGCGTTGATCCGTGCCACAGGTGCAAGATGACAAGGCCGGGTGCGCCTTTGAAGTTCCTTTCGCTGTGTGCTCTATCCTTTCACTTGGGCTTAGGAATGGCCATGGTCCTTTCGATGGGATTCTGACAACTGCAAGGTGGTTCATGAGACTGGTGTGGCACATGGCGTAGTCCTACTTGCTTGAAGTTGGCGTCATGTGCCTTTGGGGTCTCCTATCTTGATCAGAAAGAGAGCGAGAGCGCAATGAATGGATAGTCCGAGAACCATTTTGCGTGCAGCTCGCTGCATTCACGATTGGATTGATGGAGTCCTCTAAGGCGCTTCACGCAGTGCACCAAAGCCCCAGTCTTCTGTTGACCTGGACGTATAGAATACTGGGATGACCGGGGGTTTCATTTCTCTCATTGCCATTTGTCCTCAGCCTCAAACCGCAGAATCCAATGGGGTTTGAAGGTCCGCACTCTGCGACTGAGCGTGGCAACCTCAGACTGGCCGAGCCACGCCCTTTGTCCCGCCTTAGGGAAGTTGTCGGTGGAAGGAAAGGGTACCCGCGAAGAATGGGGCATTTTAATTTTGAATTGAAGCCTGGGTGTCCCATTGAGCCTCGCCATTGCTTTCCCCAACCAAATCTTGCACAGAGAACAAATCCTGCACCATCGCATGTGAAGAGTGTGCTGCTGGTGTCACATTCGCAATGCTGCGAGGGATGTATGACGTTGAGTTGGAGGTGTCTATGATTTCGCACTGCGAAATGCACAAAAGGCCTAGTGGCAGCTAGCCACTGCAGCTCTTCGGAAGGTAAACAAGCCTTGGCTGAGGGTCATTGCCCAGCTCTGTGTTGACTCATTGCTTGTGAAGCCATTAGAGCTGCATGAGAACTAGAACCGTAATTGGCGCAATATCTCGGAGGGCAAGGGACCTTGGCCGGTGGGAAGACCATTTTTGTGGTAAATACAAAGCTCGAGCTTTTTTGGGCGATCCTCTCGTTCGGAAGTGAGGACGATCCCAGATCCAGACGTTTGCCAGATACACCAACCTCTACAAACCATCAACAAATCATAGGAATATCGAAACAACAAGAGATATAAGTTAATATAAGTACATGAGCAGCCGCTAAGACCTTTATAGCACACAAAGCCTTCTTTGCCCGGCTGTTTTCATCCAGGGCTCCACACCCAGCATTGGGTCCTCGGACTGCTCGCCTGGGGCCGAGCGAACCGGCTGGGCGAAAGAGAATCCGGGGCTTGGCACCTCTTCTTTCGATTGGGGAATAGAATATATGGCTAAGAAATCTTTATGGCTATCTGGTTGGGTCTTTGGTCTTTGACTTTTTGGGAAAACAGAGGATTTTCCATTGGACCCACTAAAAGTTAAACTTTTTGCAGGGGGGTCAACAGCAACCAAGGTTTGACAAATATTGATTGGTATAACGATTATATTATTGGGAAATAAGACTTGTTTGGGTAGTATGTTTGTACCGATTACAAAGATTTGTCAAATGACTGCAAGCCTTCAACTGTGGGACGATTCTGGAGCAAGAGACGGAAGGTGCACAGCTGTGGGCTGCGTTGTGCATGAGAGATGCATTGTACATGGTACGCATTCATGCATGTTGTTATGCTTAGGCAAGTGGAGGTAGAGCAGTAGAGCCCTTCGGCAGGAAAGAAGAAGAAAATCACGCTACGAGCTGGCACCTGGATACCCGTTCCCAATCTATGCTTATAGACCTTATAGATTAGCAGGAAAGAACACATGCTGCATCTCAACCTGAGCATCCAGAGCTCCGCGGCAGCCCTCATTGTCGCTTCACCCTCCAGAAAATGATATTAATATGACCATGGTTTGACCCCCCAAACAAAAAACACAGTTGTTTCCAAAGCGGTCGGCGATGCTCACCAACCAAGGATTTGAGCAGCCATTGAACCAAAATGGTTGTGACATAAAGGGACCTAAACGGTGTCCTCTTAGCCTCCAAACGAGGGGCGTCCCAACTGCAAAACAAAGACGAGCCATATGAGCATCCGACAAAATCTTCGGTAGTATTCAGTAGTATGCGGGCCGCCGTGGGGTCACCCAAAGTAGCCAAGGACTGCAAAACCGATAGGGGCCCACCCAAAACCGATACCCCTGATTGTTTGAAAGGGTTAACATACACATAATACACATAGTGTTGAAGGACGATAAATTTTGAGGCTGCAGTGACTTTGCAGCAGCTGGCCCGAGATTTGTACTTTGCAGCAGCTGGCTCGAGTTGAAGTACATTGAGCATAGGTTCCCATTGCGTTTCCATTGTGCTAGCAGCCCCTCATGTTTGTGAACTCTCAACAAAGACTTCTCTTAAACCCGCAAACGTCTGCCCGCCCGACCGATACCCCCGACCGATACGCCGACCGATACACCTTTCATTGCGAAACCTGCGCTGCGTGAGAAGGAGCCCTTTCGAGCCATGGGAGCTTGCACTAGATTTGTACTACAAAGTTGCGATTTTCGAGCTGGAGCTGCGGAAGTGTACTTCGCGTACTAGACTTGTACTACAAAGTTGCGATTTTCGAGCTGGAGCTGCGGAAGTGTACTTCGCGTACTAGACTTGTACTACAAAGTTGCGATTTGCGAGCTGGAGCTGCGGAAGTGTACTTCGCGTACTAGACTTGTACTACAAAGTTGCGATTTTCGAGCTGGAGCTGCGGAAGTGTACTTCGCGGACTAGACTTGTACTACAAGCGATTTTCGAGCTGGAGCTGCGGAAGTGTACTTCGCGTACTAGACTTGTACTACAAAGTTGCGATTTTCGAGCTGGAGGCCCACCCAAATTATCAATGGCATTCAAGTTATCAAGAGATTTCGTCCGCAACTCATATGTGAGTCCCATGCGCTTGCGTCTGAGCGCCTGAGGTTTAGCAATCAGAAGGGCAGCTTGGCCAGATCCTGCTTGAAGCCTTGGCGATCGTTGGGCGCCCAGTTTTTCTCCTCAAGTGTCCTTTTGATCCGCGAGTTTCTAGAACACGGTTTGGATGTGGCGAATCTGTGGATCCACCCTTGCAGAAAAAAGGAAGATAACAAAAAAAGGACCAAGAGGGAGAAGAACTGGTGAAACCGCAAAAAGTGCATCAACACCGTTTTCTAGATAGATGGCACTTGTTTACATAGATGGGTTTATTCCACTTACCACATGATTGAAGTCAGACCATTTAGCTTAGTGTGTTGGAACCCCGGGCTAGTACTCGACGAGCCCGAGTTGGCTGCACATGTTCCTGCTTTGGACTCTTCGCCGCACCAAGGGTAGCCACGTTGCCAGGGAAATTTGGACGATGCTTGCTGAGGCCTGTGGAAGCCTTGTTGGGAAAGAGCTTCATCTATCCCAACGGTCGGCGAGGCCAGATTTGTAGCTTCGCAGTTGTACAACACTTCCAGGTGCATTGGAAAGTCTCCTCTCGTCAAAATTTGGTTTCTGTCGCCAGCGGGACAGATCATGGCATACCGGGGACGAGTCTGAGTGTGAAGCCTTCTTGGCTGTAGCGCTGACGAAATATCCAACCATACTCCGAGCCACTCTGTCAATGTTTGCCAAAGTGCTCAGGAGAGCTCATACCTTGGAGTAATGCGTATGCTTGATCAGGCGTTTTTTTTGCCCTCTGCTTCTGCCCCTCGCTGAAACTCCAGGCAGCGCCCGAGTTTCGGACATGCTGGGCACCAGCACTGCAAACAAGACAGGCCGGGCAGCTTGAGAGACATGATCAACAGGCCTCCTCTACTTAGCTTTGGGATGGGACCAGGATCCTGAACCGTTAAGTTATATTCATTCCAATTAAGGAAAGCATGACCATAGGCCGTATTACAAAGAGTTCGGACCATGGCGCGCGTGCGCTCGGCACAAGTGATGCTTCGGCATTGCTCGCAGTCTCGAGGCAGCAAGACGGAAAGGCTGCCGATCCTTGCAACGCAGCAGGTTGGGAGCGAGATGGGAGCGAGCATGCAGATACGTTCAGCAAGTCGAGCCTGAGATGCCATTCGTTGCGGTTTGTTCCTCGGTATGCAAAAAAACAACTAACAGGTGCCTCAGGTGACCCTGCCATTTAAGCTGGAACCTGACTTGGGGGGGGGCTTGTGAAAGGCAATCTTCCTCAAGAAGCCCCTTCATTTCCCTTGTTAAGTGGCGATCGCTTCCAAAAAAATCATCGGTAAAATCATTAGCTTAAGAAATCCACTCACCCATGACAAAACACAACCTTCTACTGGGATCCCCCCACCAATCAAAACTGCAAAACAGGCGGCCCTGTGGGTTCCATGTCAGGTGGAGGCCGAAGCCAGCTCCCATGCTGCCTGGGAACAGATCAAGCGCACTCACGGATTCTCGGTGTCTGTCGCCCAGTGTCGGAGTGTGTCTCTCTCTTTCTTGGGGAATTGTCCAGATGGGTGTGGACACCCTCAAATGGTTGTTGTGTTCTTTACCTTCGTTGGGGCCACATGTTGAGATTCGCGCTCTCCCTCCCTCAAAATTGCAAGACAAATGCCAACTGGGAATGGATGTTGTGGCGGTGTCCAAGGCTGTGCCAGAAGAGATGAGCAGGAATGTCAATTTCTGGTACACTCGTACTGGCAAACTGACATTCGACCGAGTGTAAAAAGACTCATGGACCCCCAAAAAAGACATTATGCTCGATGTTTTTGCAAAATCGAGAATAGGCAGGTATGCTCCAGCAAAGCTGGAAGACGGAAGTTTCTAATCAATAATGTGCCTATAGGAGATCAACTGTTTTCGTGGAGCATCTCGTCTCTTCGTTCTCTTCCTGAGCATCTCGTGTCTTGGCTTTTTCCTCTCTCTCTCTCTCTCTTTCTCTTTCACTTTCACTTTCTCTTTATCTATCCATCTATCTATGTATCTATCTCTCCGTTTATCTTTCCATCTCCTCCTGACCCGGCAAAAAGTGCTGCGCCTGCGAAATCTGCACCTCAGGGGGGCGAATTTCATGTGCCTGCCACGGAATCGGCTTCGCGCGTCCACTCTAGTGCGATTCGCACGCAAATCTCGCGACTCACATTCCCAAAGTGCTGCGCCTGTCACGAATTCTGATGCCCACAGGAACAAAATGCTGCGCCTGCCACGAAATCTGCCCTGACCTTGTGAAAATGCTGCGCCTGCCGCAGATCAAACCTAGCGAAACCTTGCGCGGCCGTGCCATTGGGCAACTTTCCAGACCGCGGCGAACCCGCGGCGGGTTTCCACCGCGGCGATCCGTACGCCGAACGGGGATAACCTTTGCGATCTCGATTTCTTCTTCGTATTTCTTGCCTTTTGTTCTATCTTTCATTGTACGGCTCTGTTATTTTGACTTGGTAATACAGATATATTCTAATTAAGTTTTCTTTGATTAGGAGTTAAGTGTTTTGGTTTCTATTTGATTTCTTCTTGTAAGCATTTTTCCTAAAATTCTTACATAATGTATAATTAAATTTTAATTTGTGTAATAATTGTAAAATTTGAGGTTTTATTTTTTTGTAATTTGATAATGAATTTGAATTTGAATTATTAAGAATTTGGAATTTCGGTATTTAAAATATTATAATAATTATAATTATTGGATTTGATTTTATTACTTGTAGGTTTTTTTTTATTACTTGATTTGATTTGGGAATAAATTTGGAATGAATAAATTCATATAATTATTTGTTATTGGAATTAAATTTGAACAATTATATAGATATAAAATATATAATAATATTATGTATGGTAGTCAATAGAATTATGGTCGAATTGGGTGTGGCTTAAAACTAATTAGGAGGGGTTATGTAGATGTTGGTTTATTATTTGGGGGTTGTATTTTGATATTGAATTATCATGAAATTAATTGGAATAAATAAATTATAATGATTTGGGATATGGAAGGAAATATGTAATTGGGATATTGATATTATCATTATTATTTGAAGAATTATTTGTGTGAAAGTTAGGAAATTTGAGGTATGAAATATAAATCATGGTTTAATGATTTTGTTGGGATTATGTAAGGTATGGTATGTATTGGGATTTTAGTTATTGAGTTTATGATATTTATCTTTATTATTAGTTGGTATATTATTAGCGTGTATATGTGTGATTAGGGATTAGGAGTTATGTTTTGGTGAGGATATAGTTGTTTTTTTGGTTGGCATTTGAGGAGTTTAAATAAGTTATATGTGTTTTATTTTGGAATTAATGATTTTGTCTCATAGCCTGCTTGCCTTGGCATCTTGGTTGGCCCTCATGTAAGCCACAATGAACATGTGGGTAGATGAAGGTTACTTGTATGGTGTGGGTAGGCCCCGAGTTTTGAGTATAACTTGAGGTTGAGCATAGCATGGGTTTGATACTCTCGATTCAAGCCGGATGTGTGTTTACAGATTCTCAAGTTTGGGCAGGCACGGCTACCCTCGCTTTGAGCAGGAAGCAGTCTGCCCACATCAGCAGGTGGCCTCAGTGGGTCGGCAAACCTTTCAGCAAGAGGCAGAAACCGATGGTCGAGAGCGCCCGGCACAATAAGAAGCTGCTGGTGGATTGGCAAGGCTTGCGATATTTTACGATGGTCTTGCGTTTTCACTGCGTGCTCACGTCCCCGGAGACCTCGGTTACCACACGCTCAGGACAGCACCAGTGAGAGCCATGTGGTGGCCCATTCCACCCTACGAGATGCTAGCTGTGAGCACTGAGGCGGGCTCAAACATGGAACATTCGGATGTGTTTTGCTCGCTGTCGACACAGGATTTGAGTGTGTTTTTCTTTCATGAGCCCAACTGAAGACATGCATACGTGAGTCTGAATTCATGCTTCCTGTCATGGAAACACGGCCGCACTCAAGCAGTGACTGAGACTAAGGACGCTGGCCTGGGATGGCAAGCATGAAAGGTGCAGATTTGGAAGCCTCGGTCTCAGTTGTTTGAAGCTTCATCGGCACTTTTCGCCTCAGTCACATCCAAAGCCGGATCCGCCCGAAGAGTTGGCCCAAGTGTCTGCGCCGAATCCGCGACTCGCCAAACATCCTCCGCGTTTTTTTTGGGTCCCATGTCGCCGGTTCCCGAGGCAGAGCTGAGGTTCGGCGTCCTTGGCCTGAAGAGCCTGGAGTACAATGCCAAGGAGGCGGTCACGGAGATGCCCTTTGTGGGCCAGGCCTTTGTGAACGTGGACGCCTACGAGAAGCTCACGGAGTCGCTGTCCCGGGTGATCTGCGAGCACCGGCTGCAGGATGTGGCGTCTGTGCTGCTGCTGCACTTCCACCACCACATGGAGGAGGGGGAGATCTTGCTGGAGAAGGTGGATGAGAAGGAGGCCATCACCAGCCCCGTGTTCATGGAGACGGTGGCAGAAGATCCCCGGCTGGTGCCGCACTCCTTCCGCCTGAAGAAGGTGAATGACAGCTTCAAGTGGGTGCCCACGGAGTTCGTGCTGGACACGGACGGGCAGATGCAGCAGTTGACGGATTCCATGCTGACCTCTGATGGGTTCATGGATGCCATGGCCACTGAGTTGCTCACCACTGGGCTTTGGACAGTCTTTGGAATCCAAACGCTGCACCGCCACCAAGTGGTTCTCAAGGAGGATGAGGTGTTAGTGGAGGAGAGCACGAAGCCTTGGGAGGAGGAAGGACGCATCTCGCGTTTCTGGCCGCACCCCGCAACTGTCATCGACTACAGCAATCCCACACTTCTGAAGACCACGTGGGCTTGGATGAACCAGAAAGTCTGGGTGTGCGCGGGCAACTGCTCAGGATGCAAGCACTGCAGTGGGAACCAGGCGAACGTGAATATGGCTGGGGAGAAGGCGGAGTACCAGCCCACAGATCTGAAAAAAGTCTGGGTGTGTGCGGGCAACTGCTCAGGATGCAAGCACTGCAGTGGGAACCAGGCCAACGTGAATATGGCTGGGGAGAAGGTGGGGTACCCGCCCACAGATCTGAAGAAAGTTTGGGTTTGCGCGGGCAACTGCTCAGGATGCAAGCACTGCAGCGGCAACCAGGCCAACGTGAATATGGCTGGAGAGAAGGTGGAATACCAGCCCACAGATCTGAAGAAAGTCTGGGTGTGCGCGGGCAATTGCTCAGGATGCAAGCACTGCAGTGGGAACCAGGCCAACGTAAACATGGCTGGGGAGAAGGTGCAGTACCAGCCCACAGATCTGAAGAAAGTTTGGGTTTGCGCGGGCAACTGCTCAGGATGCAAGCACTGCAGTGGGAACCAGGCCAACGTGAATATGGCTGGGGAGAAGGTGGAGTACCAGCCCACTGATCTCAAAAAAGTTGAGGTCTGAGTTCTGCTGCTGATTCTGAGCATAATAGGTGCAGAGAATCAACCGTGGGGCAGCGCGACGCAGGGTAGGTTGCGAAGAGCTTGAGGCTACTTGGGCTTCCTTCTTTCATAGTTCTCGCAGGCTACTGGCACCAGCCAGCGTTTTCTGCTGGTTTTCGATTGCTTGTCCAGGAGAGCGTGCAGTTCGGCTGCAATGAAAAAAAACAATTGCAATCGCATAGGCGTTGGCTCAACTCTACTCGTCCTTTGCTGGGTGTTTCGCCATATCCCTGCACGCCTAAACCTCGGGAGTTCGAAGACATCAGAGCCTGGGTTCCCTTTTTGAGCCACACCCAGATGACCCAAGCAAAGCCCATACGACGGTCTGCTCGTGTTTTTTTTTGGAGACTGTTTGATTCTTGCTGCGAGGAGGATTGGACCGTCTCCTGACGAAGGGCATCAAGATTCCGATGGATCTGAGGCACTTGGCGCATGAAGTTTAGGGTCATTCATTGTTCCACCGGCCCCCTCTCTTGCGCCATTCGTGTTCTTTGGAGCCACCATTCGGCGCAGGAACTTGTCACCTAGTAGTCAAGATTTGCTGGGAGTGTGGTTGCGCAGTGCGATAGGTTCTTTTGGCCAAGCACTGAAACGCGGTGTGGGATGGGGAAGACAGACATGACACCAAATAGGAGCTGACAGCTTTCTCAACCAGATCTTTGCAACTTAGCCAATCAAGATGTCGAAGGTACAAAACCCGCGTTCGATCCTTAAAACAATTCCAGTGTGTCTTGTCAGTTTGGGATCGGCCCACGGGCGACTCAATGAATGTCCCTCGAAAGCTGGAAGAGCACATTCATATGTCCTTTGCAGTAACTGCTTGTTTTTGACTGGGCCCAAATTATGCCATGGTCAAAAGACTAGTTCCTTTACTTGGGGGTAGCCGGGATGGTCATCCACATGGAAGCAGGATCCTTCATATTCAGCGGCCATATAAGGAGTTTTTGCTCATATGAAACATGGTTTCAAGGGCAAGTTCTGCTGCCAGTCCCGGAGAGATCTTGAAGAGTGTCCGCCTGGCTTTAATGCGCACTGCCTCTTCCAGCAAGCGCCTTAGAGACGGCAAAATCAAATGTGTGTTTGAGGGTATCCGTTTGAGGTTGATTTCTAGGGGAAAAGCACCATGACTCACAATGACGGCGTTCCCCCTTGTGTGGCGGGCCCCAAATTGGCCGAGCCATTGATACCAAATTACGCGGCCAAAGCTGGCAGTCTATTGGATCCAAGGTTTGAGCAAAACACTGTGAAGATTGTTGGCCTTGGGTGCTTGAGGAGTGCTGAGTGTACGGGCATATCAGGTGTGCGCATGACTGGAGAAGCAGGGTTTGCCGTGTCATCAACCGGCGCAATGCTGCTCTCTGAACGCAACAATGTTCCTGTGAGTAAACAAGACAAGAGACACGCGCGCACACACACACATGTCATGACGGATTCCCATGTTGGTAGAACCAACTGGCTAAACCAGGCTGCAATATTGGGCGTGGCTCAGCAGCAATGCTGCGATTCAACGGCAAAGGCATTGCATTACAAGACGGGAGGCGCATGACAAACATAGGTGCAAACCACTGGATTGTCACTTGCTTTTTCTCCAGCAAGAAGCGGAGCTTTCGACAGTTGTGCTTGGTTGAAGGCGCAAGCCCGTGTTTTGGCCCATGCCATTGGTGCCTTGGTGCCGATAGCGCCCGGCACAATAAGAATTTGCTGGTGCATTGGCAAGGCTTGCGATATTTTACGACGGTCTTGCTTTTTCACTGCGTGCTCACGTCCCCGGAGACCTCGGTTACCACACGCTCAGGACAGCACCAGTGAGAGCCATGTGGTGGCCCATTCCACCCTACGAGATGCTAGCTGTGAGCACTGAGGCGGGCTCAAACATGGAACATTCGGATGTGTTTTTGCTTGCTGTCGACACAGGATTTGAGTGTGTTTTTCTTTCATGAGCCCAACTGAAGACATGCATACGTGAGTCTGAATTCATGCTTCCTGTCGTGGAAACACGGCCGCACTCAAGCAGTGACTGAGACTAAGGACGCTGGCCTGGGATGGCAAGCATGAAAGGTGCAGATTTGGAAGCCTCGGTCTCAGTTGTTTGAAGCTTCATCGGCACTTTTCGCCTCAGTCACATCCAAAGCCGGATCCGCCCGAAGAGTTGGCCCAAGTGTCTGCGCCGAATCCGCGACTCGCCAAAAATCCTCCGCGTTTTTTTGGGTCCCATGTCGCCGGTTCCCGAGGCAGAGCTGAGGTTCGGCGTCCTTGGCCTGAAGAGCCTGGAGTACAATGCCAAGGAGGCGGTCACGGAGATGCCCTTTGTGGGCCAGGCCTTTGTGAACGTGGACGCCTACGAGAAGCTCACGGAGTCGCTGTCCCGGGTGATCTGCGAGCACCGGCTGCAGGACGTGGCGTCTGTGCTGCTGCTGCACTTCCACCACCACATGGAGGAGGGGGAGATCCTGCTGGAGAAGGTGGATGAGAAGGAGGCCATCACCAGCCCCGTGTTCATGGAGACGGTGGCAGAAGATCCCCGGCTGGTGCCGCACTCCTTCCGCCTGAAGAAGGTGAATGACAGCTTCAAGTGGGTGCCCACGGAGTTCGTGCTGGACACGGACGGGCAGATGCAGCAGTTGACGGATTCCATGCTGACCTCTGATGGGTTCATGGATGCCATGGCCACTGAGTTGCTCACCACTGGGCTTTGGACAGTCTTTGGAATCCAAACGCTGCACCGCCACCAAGTGGTTCTCAAGGAGGATGAGGTGTTAGTGGAGGAGAGCACGAAGCCTTGGGAGGAGGAAGGACGCATCTCGCGTTTCTGGCCGCACCCCGCAACTGTCATCGACTACAGCAATCCCACACTTCTGAAGACCACGTGGGCTTGGATGAACCAGAAAGTCTGGGTGTGCGCGGGCAACTGCTCAGGATGCAAGCACTGCAGTGGGAACCAGGCGAACGTGAATATGGCTGGGGAGAAGGCGGAGTACCAGCCCACAGATCTGAAAAAAGTCTGGGTGTGTGCGGGCAACTGCTCAGGATGCAAGCACTGCAGTGGGAACCAGGCCAACGTGAATATGGCTGGGGAGAAGGTGGGGTACCCGCCCACAGATCTGAAGAAAGTTTGGGTTTGCGCGGGCAACTGCTCAGGATGCAAGCACTGCAGCGGCAACCAGGCCAACGTGAATATGGCTGGAGAGAAGGTGGAATACCAGCCCACAGATCTGAAGAAAGTCTGGGTGTGCGCGGGCAATTGCTCAGGATGCAAGCACTGCAGTGGGAACCAGGCCAACGTAAACATGGCTGGGGAGAAGGTGCAGTACCAGCCCACAGATCTGAAGAAAGTTTGGGTTTGCGCGGGCAACTGCTCAGGATGCAAGCACTGCAGTGGGAACCAGGCCAACGTGAATATGGCTGGGGAGAAGGTGGAGTACCGGCCCACTGATCTCAAAAAAGTTGAGGTCTGAGTTCTGCTGCTGATTCTGAGCATAATAGGTGCAGAGAATCAACCGTGGGGCAGCGCGACGCAGGGTAGGTTGCGAAGAGCTTGAGGCTACTTGGGCTTCCTTCTTTCATAGTTCTCGCAGGCTACTGGCACCAGCCAGCGTTTTCTGCTGGTTTTCGATTGCTTGTCCAGGAGAGCGTGCAGTTCGGCTGCAATGAAAAAAAACAATTGCAATCGCATAGGCGTTGGCTCAACTCTACTCGTCCTTTGCTGGGTGTTTCGCCATATCCCTGCACGCCTAAACCTCGGGAGTTCGAAGACATCAGAGCCTGGGTTCCCTTTTTGAGCCACACCCAGATGACCCAAGCAAAGCCCATACGACGGTCTGCTCGTGTTTTTTTTTGGAGACTGTTTGATTCTTGCTGCGAGGAGGATTGGACCGTCTCCTGACGAAGGGCATCAAGATTCCGATGGATCTGAGGCACTTGGCGCATGAAGTTTAGGGTCATTCATTGTTCCACCGGCCCCCTCTCTTGCGCCATTCGTGTTCTTTGGAGCCACCATTTGGCGCAGGAACTTGTCACCTAGTAGTCAAGATTTGCTGGGAGTGTAGTTGCGCAGTGCGATAGGTTCTTTTGGCCAAGCACTGAAACGCGGTGTGGGATGGGGAAGACAGACATGACACCAAATAGGAGCTGACAGCTTTCTCAACCAGATCTTTGCAACTTAGCCAATCAAGATGTCGAAGGTACAAAACCCGCGTTCGATCCTTAAAACAATTCCAGTGTGTCTTGTCAGTTTGGGATCGGCCCACGGGCGACTCAATGAATGTCCCTCGAAAGCTGGAAGAGCACATTCATATGTCCTTTGCAGTAACTGCTTGTTTTTGACTGGGCCCAAATTATGCCATGGTCAAAAGACTAGTTCCTTTACTTGGGGGTAGCCGGGATGGTCATCCACATGGAAGCAGGATCCTTCATATTCAGCGGCCATATAAGGAGTTTTTGCTCATATGAAACATGGTTTCAAGGGCAAGTTCTGCTGCCAGTCCCGGAGAGATCTTGAAGAGTGTCCGCCTGGCTTTAATGCGCACTGCCTCTTCCAGCAAGCGCCTTAGAGACGGCAAAATCAAATGTGTGTTTGAGGGTATCCGTTTGAGGTTGATTTCTAGGGGAAAAGCACCATGACTCACAATGACGGCGTTCCCCCTTGTGTGGCGGGCCCCAAATTGGCCGAGCCATTGATACCAAATTACGCGGCCAAAGCTGGCAGTCTATTGGATCCAAGGTTTGAGCAAAACACTGTGAAGATTGTTGGCCTTGGGTGCTTGAGGAGTGCTGAGTGTACGGGCATATCAGGTGTGCGCATGACTGGAGAAGCAGGGTTTGCCGTGTCATCAACCGGCGCAATGCTGCTCTCTGAACGCAACAATGTTCCTGTGAGTAAACAAGACAAGAGACACGCGCGCACACACACACATGTCATGACGGATTCCCATGTTGGTAGAACCAACTGGCTAAACCAGGCTGCAATATTGGGCGTGGCTCAGCAGCAATGCTGCGATTCAACGGCAAAGGCATTGCATTACAAGACGGGAGGCGCATGACAAACATAGGTGCAAACCACTGGATTGTCACTTGCTTTTTCTCCAGCAAGAAGCGGAGCTTTCGACAGTTGTGCTTGGTTGAAGGCGCAAGCCCGTGTTTTGGCCCATGCCATTGGTGCCTTGGTGCCGATAGCGCCCGGCACAATAAGAATTTGCTGGTTTGGCAAGGCTTGCGATATTTTACGACGGTCTTGCTTTTTCAACTCCCCGGAGACCTCAGGATGCAAGCACTGCAGCGGCAACCAGGCCAACGTGAATATGGCTGGAGAGAAGGTGGAATACCAGCCCACAGATCTGAAGAAAGTCTGGGTGTTGCGCGGGCAATTGCTCAGGATGCAAGCACTGCAGTGGGAACCAGGCCAACGTAAACATGGCTGGGGAGAAGGTGCAGTACCAGCCCACAGATCTGAAGAAAGTTTGGGTTTGCGCGGGCAACTGCTCAGGATGCAAGCACTGCAGTGGGAACCAGGCCAACGTGAATATGGCTGGGGAGAAGGTGGAGTACCAGCCCACTGATCTCAAAAAAGTTGAGGTCTGAGTTCTGCTGCTGATTCTGAGCATAATAGGTGCAGAGAATCAACCGTGGGGCAGCGCGACGCAGGGTAGGTTGCGAAGAGCTTGAGGCTACTTGGGCTTCCTTCTTTCATAGTTCTCGCAGGCTACTGGCACCAGCCAGCGTTTTCTGCTGGTTTTCGATTGCTTGTCCAGGAGAGCGTGCAGTTCGGCTGCAATGAAAAAAAACAATTGCAATCGCATAGGCGTTGGCTCAACTCTACTCGTCCTTTGCTGGGTGTTTCGCCATATCCCTGCACGCCTAAACCTCGGGAGTTCGAAGACATCAGAGCCTGGGTTCCCTTTTTGAGCCACACCCAGATGACCCAAGCAAAGCCCATACGACGGTCTGCTCGTGTTTTTTTTTGGAGACTGTTTGATTCTTGCTGCGAGGAGGATTGGACCGTCTCCTGACGAAGGGCATCAAGATTCCGATGGATCTGAGGCACTTGGCGCATGAAGTTTAGGGTCATTCATTGTTCCACCGGCCCCCTCTCTTGCGCCATTCGTGTTCTTTGGAGCCACCATTCGGCGCAGGAACTTGTCACCTAGTAGTCAAGATTTGCTGGGAGTGTGGTTGCGCAGTGCGATAGGTTCTTTTGGCCAAGCACTGAAACGCGGTGTGGGATGGGGAAGACAGACATGACACCAAATAGGAGCTGACAGCTTTCTCAACCAGATCTTTGCAACTTAGCCAATCAAGATGTCGAAGGTACAAAACCCGCGTTCGATCCTTAAAACAATTCCAGTGTGTCTTGTCAGTTTGGGATCGGCCCACGGGCGACTCAATGAATGTCCCTCGAAAGCTGGAAGAGCACATTCATATGTCCTTTGCAGTAACTGCTTGTTTTTGACTGGGCCCAAATTATGCCATGGTCAAAAGACTAGTTCCTTTACTTGGGGGTAGCCGGGATGGTCATCCACATGGAAGCAGGATCCTTCATATTCAGCGGCCATATAAGGAGTTTTTGCTCATATGAAACATGGTTTCAAGGGCAAGTTCTGCTGCCAGTCCCGGAGAGATCTTGAAGAGTGTCCGCCTGGCTTTAATGCGCACTGCCTCTTCCAGCAAGCGCCTTAGAGACGGCAAAATCAAATGTGTGTTTGAGGGTATCCGTTTGAGGTTGATTTCTAGGGGAAAAGCACCATGACTCACAATGACGGCGTTCCCCCTTGTGTGGCGGGCCCCAAATTGGCCGAGCCATTGATACCAAATTACGCGGCCAAAGCTGGCAGTCTATTGGATCCAAGGTTTGAGCAAAACACTGTGAAGATTGTTGGCCTTGGGTGCTTGAGGAGTGCTGAGTGTACGGGCATATCAGGTGTGCGCATGACTGGAGAAGCAGGGTTTGCCGTGTCATCAACCGGCGCAATGCTGCTCTCTGAACGCAACAATGTTCCTGTGAGTAAACAAGACAAGAGACACGCGCGCACACACACACATGTCATGACGGATTCCCATGTTGGTAGAACCAACTGGCTAAACCAGGCTGCAATATTGGGCGTGGCTCAGCAGCAATGCTGCGATTCAACGGCAAAGGCATTGCATTACAAGACGGGAGGCGCATGACAAACATAGGTGCAAACCACTGGATTGTCACTTGCTTTTTCTCCAGCAAGAAGCGGAGCTTTCGACAGTTGTGCTTGGTTGAAGGCGCAAGCCCGTGTTTTGGCCCATGCCATTGGTGCCTTGGTGCCGATAGCGCCCGGCACAATAAGAATTTGCTGGTGCATTGGCAAGGCTTGCGATATTTTACGACGGTCTTGCTTTTTCACTGCGTGCTCACGTCCCCGGAGACCTCGGTTACCACACGCTCAGGACAGCACCAGTGAGAGCCATGTGGTGGCCCATTCCACCCTACGAGATGCTAGCTGTGAGCACTGAGGCGGGCTCAAACATGGAACATTCGGATGTGTTTTTGCTTGCTGTCGACACAGGATTTGAGTGTGTTTTTCTTTCATGAGCCCAACTGAAGACATGCATACGTGAGTCTGAATTCATGCTTCCTGTCGTGGAAACACGGCCGCACTCAAGCAGTGACTGAGACTAAGGACGCTGGCCTGGGATGGCAAGCATGAAAGGTGCAGATTTGGAAGCCTCGGTCTCAGTTGTTTGAAGCTTCATCGGCACTTTTCGCCTCAGTCACATCCAAAGCCGGATCCGCCCGAAGAGTTGGCCCAAGTGTCTGCGCCGAATCCGCGACTCGCCAAAAATCCTCCGCGTTTTTTTGGGTCCCATGTCGCCGGTTCCCGAGGCAGAGCTGAGGTTCGGCGTCCTTGGCCTGAAGAGCCTGGAGTACAATGCCAAGGAGGCGGTCACGGAGATGCCCTTTGTGGGCCAGGCCTTTGTGAACGTGGACGCCTACGAGAAGCTCACGGAGTCGCTGTCCCGGGTGATCTGCGAGCACCGGCTGCAGGACGTGGCGTCTGTGCTGCTGCTGCACTTCCACCACCACATGGAGGAGGGGGAGATCCTGCTGGAGAAGGTGGATGAGAAGGAGGCCATCACCAGCCCCGTGTTCATGGAGACGGTGGCAGAAGATCCCCGGCTGGTGCCGCACTCCTTCCGCCTGAAGAAGGTGAATGACAGCTTCAAGTGGGTGCCCACGGAGTTCGTGCTGGACACGGACGGGCAGATGCAGCAGTTGACGGATTCCATGCTGACCTCTGATGGGTTCATGGATGCCATGGCCACTGAGTTGCTCACCACTGGGCTTTGGACAGTCTTTGGAATCCAAACGCTGCACCGCCACCAAGTGGTTCTCAAGGAGGATGAGGTGTTGTGGAGGAGAGCACGAAGCCTTGGGAGGAGGAAGGACGCATCTCGCGTTTCTGGCCGCACCCCGCAACTGTCATCGACTACAGCAATCCCACACTTCTGAAGACCACGTGGGCTTGGATGAACCAGAAAGTCTGGGTGTGCGCGGGCAACTGCTCAGGATGCAAGCACTGCAGTGGGAACCAGGCGAACGTGAATATGGCTGGGGAGAAGGCGGAGTACCAGCCCACAGATCTGAAAAAAGTCTGGGTGTGTGCGGGCAACTGCTCAGGATGCAAGCACTGCAGTGGGAACCAGGCCAACGTGAATATGGCTGGGGAGAAGGTGGGGTACCCGCCCACAGATCTGAAGAAAGTTTGGGTTTGCGCGGGCAACTGCTCAGGATGCAAGCACTGCAGCGGCAACCAGGCCAACGTGAATATGGCTGGAGAGAAGGTGGAATACCAGCCCACAGATCTGAAGAAAGTCTGGGTGTGCGCGGGCAATTGCTCAGGATGCAAGCACTGCAGTGGGAACCAGGCCAACGTAAACATGGCTGGGGAGAAGGTGCAGTACCAGCCCACAGATCTGAAGAAAGTTTGGGTTTGCGCGGGCAACTGCTCAGGATGCAAGCACTGCAGTGGGAACCAGGCCAACGTGAATATGGCTGGGGAGAAGGTGGAGTACCAGCCCACTGATCTCAAAAAAGTTGAGGTCTGAGTTCTGCTGCTGATTCTGAGCATAATAGGTGCAGAGAATCAACCGTGGGGCAGCGCGACGCAGGGTAGGTTGCGAAGAGCTTGAGGCTACTTGGGCTTCCTTCTTTCATAGTTCTCGCAGGCTACTGGCACCAGCCAGCGTTTTCTGCTGGTTTTCGATTGCTTGTCCAGGAGAGCGTGCAGTTCGGCTGCAATGAAAAAAAACAATTGCAATCGCATAGGCGTTGGCTCAACTCTACTCGTCCTTTGCTGGGTGTTTCGCCATATCCCTGCACGCCTAAACCTCGGGAGTTCGAAGACATCAGAGCCTGGGTTCCCTTTTTGAGCCACACCCAGATGACCCAAGCAAAGCCCATACGACGGTCTGCTCGTGTTTTTTTTTGGAGACTGTTTGATTCTTGCTGCGAGGAGGATTGGACCGTCTCCTGACGAAGGGCATCAAGATTCCGATGGATCTGAGGCACTTGGCGCATGAAGTTTAGGGTCATTCATTGTTCCACCGGCCCCCTCTCTTGCGCCATTCGTGTTCTTTGGAGCCACCATTTGGCGCAGGAACTTGTCACCTAGTAGTCAAGATTTGCTGGGAGTGTAGTTGCGCAGTGCGATAGGTTCTTTTGGCCAAGCACTGAAACGCGGTGTGGGATGGGGAAGAAAGACATGACACCAAATAGGAGCTGCCAGCTTTCTCAACCAGATCTTTGCAACTTAGCCAATCAAGATGTCGAAGGTACAAAACCCGCGTTCGATCCTTAAAACAATTCCAGTGTGTCTTGTCAGTTTGGGATCGGCCCACGGGCGACTCAATGAATGTCCCTCGAAAGCTGGAAGAGCACATTCATATGTCCTTTGCAGTAACTGCTTGTTTTTGACTGGGCCCAAATTATGCCATGGTCAAAAGACTAGTTCCTTTACTTGGGGGTAGCCGGGATGGTCATCCACATGGAAGCAGGATCCTTCATATTCAGCGGCCATATAAGGAGTTTTTGCTCATATGAAACATGGTTTCAAGGGCAAGTTCTGCTGCCAGTCCCGGAGAGATCTTGAAGAGTGTCCGCCTGGCTTTAATGCGCACTGCCTCTTCCAGCAAGCGCCTTAGAGACGGCAAAATCAAATGTGTGTTTGAGGGTATCCGTTTGAGGTTGATTTCTAGGGGAAAAGCACCATGACTCACAATGACGGCGTTCCCCCTTGTGTGGCGGGCCCCAAATTGGCCGAGCCATTGATACCAAATTACGCGGCCAAAGCTGGCAGTCTATTGGATCCAAGGTTTGAGCAAAACACTGTGAAGATTGTTGGCCTTGGGTGCTTGAGGAGTGCTGAGTGTACGGGCATATCAGGTGTGCGCATGACTGGAGAAGCAGGGTTTGCCGTGTCATCAACCGGCGCAATGCTGCTCTCTGAACGCAACAATGTTCCTGTGAGTAAACAAGACAAGAGACACGCGCACACACACACACACATGTCATGACGGATTCCCATGTTGGTAGAACCAACTGGCTAAACCAGGCTGCAATATTGGGCGTGGCTCAGCAGCAATGCTGCGATTCAACGGCAAAGGCATTGCATTACAAGACGGGAGGCGCATGACAAACATAGGTGCAAACCACTGGATTGTCACTTGCTTTTTCTCCAGCAAGAAGCGGAGCTTTCGACAGTTGTGCTTGGTTGAAGGCGCAAGCCCGTGTTTTGGCCCATGCCATTGGTGCCTTGGTGCCGATAGCGCCCGGCACAATAAGAATTTGCTGGTGGATTGGCAAGGCTTGCGATATTTTACGACGGTCTTGCTTTTTCACTGCGTGCTCACATCCCCGGAGACCTCGGTTACCAGACGCTCAGGACAGCACCAGTGAGAGCCATGTAGTGGCCCATTCCACCCTACGAGATGCTAGCTGTGAGCACTGAGGCGGGCTCAAACATGGAACATTCGGATGTGTGTTTTGCTTGCTGTCGACACAGGATTTGAGTGTGTTTTTCTTTCATGAGCCCAACTGAAGACATGCATACGTGAGTCTGAATTCATGCTTCCTGTCGTGGAAACACGGCCGCACTCAAGCAGTGACTGAGACTAAGGACGCTGGCCTGGGATGGCAAGCATGAAAGGTGCAGATTTGGAAGCCTCGGTCTCAGTTGTTTGAAGCTTCATCGGCACTTTTCGCCTCAGTCACATCCAAAGCCGGATCCGCCCGAAGAGTTGGCCCAAGTGTCTGCGCCGAATCCGCGACTCGCCAAAAATCCTCCGCGTTTTTTTTGGGTCCCATGTCGCCGGTTCCCGAGGCAGAGCTGAGGTTCGGCGTCCTTGGCCTGAAGAGCCTGGAGTACAATGCCAAGGAGGCGGTCACGGAGATGCCCTTTGTGGGCCAGGCCTTTGTGAACGTGGACGCCTACGAGAAGCTCACGGAGTCGCTGTCCCGGGTGATCTGCGAGCACCGGCTGCAGGACGTGGCGTCTGTGCTGCTGCTGCACTTCCACCACCACATGGAGGAGGGGGAGATCCTGCTGGAGAAGGTGGATGAGAAGGAGGCCATCACCAGCCCCGTGTTCATGGAGACGGTGGCAGAAGATCCCCGGCTGGTGCCGCACTCCTTCCGCCTGAAGAAGGTGAATGACAGCTTCAAGTGGGTGCCCACGGAGTTCGTGCTGGACACGGACGGGCAGATGCAGCAGTTGACGGATTCCATGCTGACCTCTGATGGATTCATGGATGCCATGGCCACTGAGTTGCTCACCACTGGGCTTTGGACAGTCTTTGGAATCCAAACGCTGCACCGCCACCAAGTGGTTCTCAAGGAGGATGAGGTGTTAGTGGAGGAGAGCACGAAGCCTTGGGAGGAGGAAGGACGCATCTCGCGTTTCTGGCCGCACCCCGCAACTGTCATCGACTACAGCAATCCCACACTTCTGAAGACCACGTGGGCTTGGATGAACCAGAAAGTCTGGGTGTGCGCGGGCAACTGCTCAGGATGCAAGCACTGCAGTGGGAACCAGGCGAACGTGAATATGGCTGGGGAGAAGGCGGAGTACCAGCCCACAGATCTGAAAAAAGTCTGGGTGTGTGCGGGCAACTGCTCAGGATGCAAGCACTGCAGTGGGAACCAGGCCAACGTGAATATGGCTGGGGAGAAGGTGGAGTACCCGCCCACAGATCTGAAGAAAGTTTGGGTTTGCGCGGGCAACTGCTCAGGATGCAAGCACTGCAGCGGCAACCAGGCCAACGTGAATATGGCTGGAGAGAAGGTGGAATACCAGCCCACAGATCTGAAGAAAGTCTGGGTGTGCGCGGGCAATTGCTCAGGATGCAAGCACTGCAGTGGGAACCAGGCCAACGTAAACATGGCTGGGGAGAAGGTGCAGTACCAGCCCACAGATCTGAAGAAAGTTTGGGTTTGCGCGGGCAACTGCTCAGGATGCAAGCACTGCAGTGGGAACCAGGCCAACGTGAATATGGCTGGGGAGAAGGTGGAGTACCAGCCCACTGATCTCAAAAAAGTTGAGGTCTGAGTTCTGCTGCTGATTCTGAGCATAATAGGTGCAGAGAATCAACCGTGGGGCAGCGCGACGCAGGGTAGGTTGCGAAGAGCTTGAGGCTACTTGGGCTTCCTTCTTTCATAGTTCTCGCAGGCTACTGGCACCAGCCAGCGTTTTCTGCTGGTTTTCGATTGCTTGTCCAGGAGAGCGTGCAGTTCGGCTGCAATGAAAAAAAACAATTGCAATCGCATAGGCGTTGGCTCAACTCTACTCGTCCTTTGCTGGGTGTTTCGCCATATCCCTGCACGCCTAAACCTCGAGAGTTCGAAGACATCAGAGCCTGGGTTCCCTTTTTGAGCCACACCCAGATGACCCAAGCAAAGCCCATACGACGGTCTGCTCGTGTTTTTTTTTGGAGACTGTTTGATTCTTGCTGCGAGGAGGATTGGACCGTCTCCTGACGAAGGGCATCAAGATTCCGATGGATCTGAGGCACTTGGCGCATGAAGTTTAGGGTCATTCATTGTTCCACCGGCCCCCTCTCTTGCGCCATTCGTGTTCTTTGGAGCCACCATTTGGCGCAGGAACTTGTCACCTAGTAGTCAAGATTTGCTGGGAGTGTAGTTGCGCAGTGCGATAGGTTCTTTTGGCCAAGCACTGAAACGCGGTGTGGGATGGGGAAGAAAGACATGACACCAAATAGGAGCTGCCAGCTTTCTCAACCAGATCTTTGCAACTTAGCCAATCAAGATGTCGAAGGTACAAAACCCGCGTTCGATCCTTAAAACAATTCCAGTGTGTCTTGTCAGTTTGGGATCGGCCCACGGGCAACAATGTCCCTCGAAAGCTGGAAGAGCACATTCATATGTTCTTTGCAGAAACTGCTTGTTTTTGACTGGGCCCAGATTATGCCATGGTCAAAAGACTAGTTCCTTTACTTGGGGTAGCCGGGATGGTCATCCACATGGAAGCAGGATCCTTCATATTCAGCAGCCATATAAGGAGTTTTTGCTCATATGAAACATGGTTTTAAGGGCAAGTTCTGCTGCCAGTCCCGGAGAGATCTTGAAGAGTGTCCGCCTGGCTTTAATGCGCACTGCCTCTTCCAGCAAGCGCCTTAGAGACGGCAAAATCAAATGTGTGTTTGAGGGTATCCGTTTGAGGTTGATTTCTAGGGGAAAAGCACCATGACTCACAATGACGGCGTTCCCCTGTGGCGGGCCCCAAATTGGCCGAGCCATTGATACCAAATTACGCGGCCAAAGCTGGCAGTCTATTGGATCCAAGGCTTGAGCAAAACACTGTGAAGATTGTTGGCCTTGGGTGCTTGTGGAGTGCTGAGTGTACGGGCATATCAGGTGTGCGCATGACTGGAGAAGCAGGGTTGGCCGTGTCATCAACCGGCGCAATGCTGCTCTCTGAACGCAACAATGTTCCTGTGAGTAAACAAGACAAGAGACACGCGCACACGCACACATGTCATGACGGATTCCCATGTTGGTAGAACCAACTGGTGCAATATTGGGCGTGGCTCAACAGCAATGCTGCGATTCAACGGCAAAGGCATTGCATTACAAGACGGGAGGCGCATGACAAACATAGGTGCAAACCGCTGGATTGTCACTTGCTTTTTCTCCAGCAAGAAGCGGAGCTTTGGACAGTTGTGCTTGGTTGAAGGCGCAAGCCCGTGTTTTGGCCCATGCCATTGGTGCCTTGGTGCTTGAACTTGGGCAGTTGAGGTGCCACAACCGGCCCTTCACCGGGAAGCATGTCATTTTGACTAGTCCTTGAGTCGTGCCGTTTCTGCGCCTTCGCATTGCAGGCACCATCTAGTGATGACCCTGAGGAGCAGCATCAGGTTTGCAATTTCATTGAATGCACATGTGCTGTGAATTAGATGATTGTCGCAGTTCTGGAACAATGTCAGCACCTTCAGTACGTCAGCCATCCAATATGCAGCATTCAACACCAAAGGACGGAAGGCTGCGATTCATTTGGGGCAACGTGTACTAGGGCAAGAGTTGTTTGGAATCTCGTCGCATCCCAGGAGCCTTACAAGCGCCTTTGCTTCCTTGGCAGGGTGGGCAGAACGAGCATTACGCATCCGGCTGAGTTTTCCTATTTGGCTTTGGCAAACAGGAAGACAGGTGCCCCTTGGATTGAATATATGATAAATCGTTTTTTTTTAAATATATATATTTTAAATAAAGATTAAATTTTAATAAATATAATTTAAAAAAATAAGAATAACAAAGGAATTATTTCTTTATTTTTAAATGAATTTATTTTGAATATTGTTTAATCAATGTTGAATTTAAAAAATGAAGACTAAAATTGAATTTTAATAATATTTAAATATAGTTAATGAATTTAAAATTAAATTTTGATATTTGATATTTAATTAATATTATTGAAATATTGATTTGTTGAAAATTGGGATTTTTATTTAAGATTAATAAAAATAAATAATATTGAATATATATTTTGTTATAAATAATTTAATATTTATATTTAATATATATATATATATATTGTATTTAATATTATTATTATGTTTTTTATATATGTTTTAATTGATTAACATAATATAAATATATATTATAAATAATTTGTATTGTTTATGGATTGATATTTGGTTTTATGAAAATTGAGATAACATAATAAGGTAAATTTAATGAATGAATTAGAATTTCTTAAAAATAAAATTTGGTAATAGACAAATTAATTATTTTATGTTTTGTATTTTGGTTGGGCAATATATTATTGATATTATATTTTAATAATATTTTTAGAATATAATTTTTATAATTATTATTATATATTATATAAAATTTTATAATTATTTAAATATATAGTTATTTAATATTATATATTAATATTATAGAATATAAAAATTATAATATAAATTAAACAATTAAATAATGATTGATTTAAAAAAACAAAATATGTATTTGATTATGGAATTATTTTTTTATATTGTTATATGGTAATTTTCGATTTGTTATATATATATTTATTAAAATAAATTCGAAATAAATTATAATTAAAAGAAACAAATAATTAATAGTAAAATTTATATGATGGTTATATTTTTTGTAAAACATATTTATATAATTTAATTTTGTTTGAGATGGTTTTATATAGTTTAGTTCTATATAAGTTGTTTTTTGCGAGTGATTTTGTATAATTGGCTCTGTGTAAGTTGGTTTTTATACGAATTTGTTTGGCATAATGTGCTTTGCATCATTTATGTCGTACGATTTCCGTTTATGATATATATGATATGTGTAAAATGTTTTTTGTAAGTTGTTATTCGTATATATTTTATGTAAGTTGGTCTGAGTAAATTATTTTACGTAAATGCTTTGTGTTAATTATATATATACTCTATATAAGTTGCTCTGTGTAAATTGCTCTGCGCAAGTGATTCTGTATATATACGCTTGCCGGAATTATGGGAATATATTTTATATATTATTTTTGGTATTTAAATATTGTGATTTTCTAGCTGGAGTTGCGAAAGTGTGTTTTACGTATTATGTTTATATGTAAAAGTTGCGATTTTTTAATCGGAGTTATAGGATTATATTTTATATATTATATTTATACTTAAAAATTATGTATTATGTTTGCACTTTAAAGTTGCGATTTTTAAGTCGGAGTTGCTGCGGACTAAGGAAGAATTAAGACCGCGGGATTACGAAAGTAGACGAGTAAATTACGATATAATTTCTAGAGGCCATTTCGCGAGTAACAAAATCGCACGGCGCCATAACGAGAATGCTTCGACATACAAAAAGTGCCTCTCTATAGAGGATCGTAATCCCGATCGTCGGCAATATCCCTTTCCCCGCCTTAAAAGAGATTCTTAACACCGAGCTCTTTCTTTCTTTCCCGCACATTAAATACTTGACCTAACTTACTTAACCTAGCTTACACAGCTACTAACGCCGAGCCTCTACACCTAACTTAGCTTAGCTCTATGCACCTACCTCTATGTATTTGGCTCTATGCACTAGTTATTTACGCAGAATAGTTTATATAGAATTATTAGTATAGAGATATTAGGAGTTCTTAATTAATTTATATAGAATAATTTGTATAGAGTTATTAGTATAGAAATATTTGTCTAGAATCACCAATATAGAGATATTTGTATAAACACAATAATATAAAGTTATTAATTTAGAATTATTTATGCAAAGCTAAGCTTAAAAAATTAAAATATATAAAATTAAATACTTAAAACAAATTACAAAGAGCAAAATACAAAGAGCCAAATAATATCTTTTTTATTATTCTATATAACTTACTCTATATAAATATTTCAAGAATTCCATATAAAAAATCCTTCACCATATTTTCGAGAATTAAAAAAAATACATATCAAAAATAATAAAACAAAAATAATAATAATAAAACTAATAATAATAATAATAATAAAAAAGAACTAATATATAAAACAAAAATATATATATTTCAACAAAATCATCAAAATCCAAAAAAAAATAACAATATAATATCTAAAATTCAAAACAAACAAATAATCCAAAAATTATTAATGTTTTAATAAAATTATATTATAAAAATTCCAAATGAAAAATTTATAAAATTCCCAAAAAATCATTAAAAATTCAATTATTTCCAATTCGTATTTAAAAAAAAAAAAAAAAAAAAAAAATCATCACCAATTTACAAAAAAATAAAAATATATATATCATTATTTTTTAAAAAAAACAATATAACCTCTATATAATTCTTCATAAATTATTTATATTTATAAAAAACACGAAAAATAAAATACAATAAAGTGGTCCCCCTAATATCGAAAAATCCTCCCAATTTATTCTTAAAAAAAAAAGGAGCTTACATCGAATACCATTCAAGTGCGTCTAAAACCAATAGTTTGACCCCCCTCGACTCCTCCTAATCTGCCCTTTGCCCGCCCCCTCGTGCTTAATGGCTTCGATTAGCTTCGTTCCTTTTCCATTCTTTTCGCTCGCTTCGCTTCATACTAAGTTACGATGCGCTTT